CCCGGAACTGCTGGAAGCCTGGGTCTCGAAAGGAGCTGATCCAGACGACGCTGTGCCGAATTGGGTGAGAAACGGGGCTCCTCTGGGCATAGAAATGCCCATTCCGGTCAAGGGCATATTCCCGAAGAATGTCGAAGGCTCGAACTTGGACTACCACGGCAACCACGAATTGGAAGACGCCGAAGCCCAGATGAGCCACGGAGAAATACTCAACTACACCTCCGTCCTGGAAAATTTGGAAGACGCCCGCATTGAGCTGAACAGGTACAAAGCGGAAGGCTTCATGGTTGACGTCGACAAGGAGACGGTGCAGAAGGAAATGTCTCATGGGACCATCAGCCGCTTGGGCCTTATTGTGAAGCAGAAGCCCGAGGGAGTCAAAAGACGCATCATCTTGGATTTGCGCCGGTCTGGAGGCAATCGCAAAGCAGTGCTACCAGAGAAGTTGGTGTTACCGAGACCACGAGATGCGGTCGCTATGATGAGGGACGTGTACAACCAACGCAGAGGATGCGGAAGCGGCGAAGGCTACACACGTGAGCTGGTAGTGGTGGACATCTCGGACGCTTTCATGTCCTTGGCAGTTCACGAAGCTGAACTACCACACACCCTGGCACCTCACGTAGATGGCGAAGGTTTCCATCTATTTGTCGCCCTCCTCTTCGGCTTCAAAACAGCTCCGTTGTTGTGGTCTCGAGTGGCAGCACTCGTTTCCAGACTCCTTCAGTCACTGGTCCAAGGCAACGAAGCCCAGCACCAGACATATTTGGACGACGGTTTGTGGATCCTCCAAGGGACGCTGAAGGAGAGAAACAGCATACTTGCAATGGTCATCACGACACTCTTCGCCTTGGGCCTGAAGGTTTCCTTAAAGAAAGGCTTGAGATCATCTCAAGTGCAATGGGTGGGCGTCAGATTCACACCCAACGAGGACGCCATCATCTTGGGCCTGCCTGACAAACTTATGTCGGACTTGCTACAAGTCCTCAAATCTTGGGCAAATGCTGGCATGGCACCGATAAAGGAGCTGAGACAGGTCGCAGGCCGCACCTCCTGGGTTTCAGGGATTTTGCCACGTACGCGATGGGTTGTCGCCGTATTTTACAGAGTGTTGCACGAGAGGCTGAACGACATAGCGTCAGGCAAGGAAGAAGAACGTCGCCAGCATCGCAGGGACGACAGAGCCAAAGGAGGCCTCTTCGTGGTCAAGCAACTGGAACAACCGCGAGTGTGGCTGATCAAATACTTGGAGGTGGCGATGACAAAACCCACGAGGCGCCTCAAGCTTGACACCACGAAGTACCCGAAGGCCACAATCGTCAGACGCGTCGCCTCTGGGTGCGGGCGCAATTTTGCTTATCAACAACCGCATCACGAAGGCATACACCACCAAAGTGACGCACAGAGATGCCAGGCTCCTAGGATTTGAGGACAGCTGGGAACAGGCAGCCTCTCAAGGTATTGCAGAGACGTTATCGGTGTTGCTGGCCCTCAAACATTGGGCGAAAGAACTGCAGTCCTGCCACGTGGAGCTTCAAGTGCAAAGCGACAGCTTGGTGGCCTTGGCAACAGCGAAGCGTCTGTCGAGCTCTACATCGACGCTGAACTTTCTTGGCGCCGAGATAGCCTTGGTATGTGAAGAGATCGGCATCGAAGGACTTAGGACGTCCCACATTCCAGGGTCGGCCAATACGTCGGCGGACTGGCTCAGCAGGCCAGACAAGATTGCGAAGGATGAAATGCCAGTGGAACTCAAGGGAATCCCCATACACAATGATTTGCAAGTTCGGGGACCTGAGTTTTACCACTTGGCACCGCCGCAGTTGGCCCCGGATTTGTGGCGTCCAAGTACAGCGGCCAACAACGCTTGGGCCTCGCTGCACTGACATATCTGAAGGACAAGAAAAGGCTGCAGTAAGGTCACAGCATGCAAGGTAAAGTCACTTCATGCGGTTCGGATCATATGGAAATTGGGTCAATTCACCCGTAGCCATTTGCAGAATGACAGATTCAGGCATTGTCCCTTACGTGCCGGCTGGGCCACCAGCGCTCCTTGCTGTGCCATGGTATCCTTCGACATGGGGCTACGTGGCACTGCTCACCCTCCTACTGGCGAGCTGGGGCATAGTAGCTTGGTGCCTTTGCTGTTCCGCAACCGAGTCAACACCCAAACAGCAGCAACTCAAGCAGAAGGGTGCCTCTTCCGCTTACTCCGGGACCCTCCCAATGTCGCGGTACCCCAAGAAAGGCGTGTCTTTGGCGACGTTTATCACAAGGAGGGATCAAGTGTGGAGAGATCATCAACTGAGGGGAGGCGACTGCTGGCTAGTGCTGGATTAGCCGACAACACCTCAGTCGATGGACCCAATGCCCCCTTTGACAAAGAGGAAGCAATCACGTCAACAGAGCTCTATGGCACGAAGGATATGTGGGACATCACCTCTCCCAAATCTCAGTCGGGGAAGAGTGAAGGTAGCCCCGAATCGATGAACAAGTTCCCGCCAGATCCTCCCTCGAGCGTCCCAGAAGGCGCACAACACAAAGGGCCTTGGTGGAGAGAACTGTTAGCTTCACCTGTGAAGAAACTACGCCTAGCCGAACTGGGGCGCAACTTCAGAGCTCTAGCTATGCCCTCTTACGAACTGCCGCCAGTGGAAACGCCTACAACAAGCATTTTGCCGTTCGACATGCACACGAAGGCTACGGATCAGTCTCAGGGGTCTATCAAACCTAAGGGCACATTAGCCAAGGTTAGGAAAGACCTTCCAAAGAGGTCGTCTGGTGCGAAGCTACCCAAGCCCAACAGAAGGTCGGCGGTGAAGCTCGCAAAAGCGAAATGCGCCCTGGCTGGCATCGTAGCAAGGGTGGAGAGGGACTTTTGTGCAAACTCTTCGAGAGCAGCACGTGCATCAAAGCGCAACACCATCAAACAAATACTTTGTGCAGGTAACGAGGGTTTCCCGTTGACACCATTTTCCCTGAAACTACTTGCTGGCACTCTACGCGAATCGGGCTACAAATCGGCTCACTCCTATCTCATCGAAGCCAAGCTCGAACATGTGGAGGCCGGACATCACTGGACGAGTCTGTTGGATCGTCATTTCAAGCTTTGCATGGCAGCCGCCAAACGAGGAACAGGACCTCGAAAGAAAGCAGCAGAAGTACCCGAAGGGACATGGACCGACCATTCATTGCTGGAGGACCCTTCCGTGGCCGGCCTGAAGGTTCTACATTCAGCGCTGCTGTTCGCTTGTGGTGTTCATTGGATGATGCGGGAGATTGAACTCTCGAACTTGCACACGGAGGACATCAGATTCGACTGTGCAAATCGAATGGTCACCATCCTTTGGAGAGAATCCAAGAAGGATACCGAAGGCATCGGCATTTCACGCACGCTTCAGTGCTTGTGTGAGAATGGCTGCGATCTGAAGTGCCCCTACGCAGTGTTGGAGACTTTGGTGAACCACGCGACGCTGAGGGGAACTCCGATGGGGGCCATCGCGATGGGCAAGAGGGGGTGCCTGGCCACCAAAGCCGACATCGTCCACGATTGGAGGAAACTGTACGGCAAGGACGTCACGGGCCACTCGACTCGAAGGAGCGGTGCCTTACAATACATCAGAAAGGGATGGGCAGTATCTCAAGTAGGATACCTGGGCCGTTGGAAGAGCAACATCATCATGGAGTACGCGCAAGAAGCCTTGGAATCCATGGCGGTGAACAATACACAATGTTTCGGTGTCAGCGGAGCTCAACTACAGATGGCCCAACAGCTGATCAAAGGAAACGCTCAGTGCAACGACAACCAACAGCTCTTGGTGACGAAGGCAGATGCCGTGGTGGTGCAGAAACTGAAAGAGGAGTTGGAAACATTCAAGGGACACACCTTGGGTTCACATGTAGCGTTGGAAAACGCCATCAAGGATGTCGAAGACCAAGTGACTCAGTCTTCGAAATATTTACCCAAGATGGTCAAGTCGGTGAGACAACAGGTGATACATGCGAACGTAGTCACGCTGGTGTACGCACCACCTATCACCTGGAGGACAAAGTGCGGTTGGTATTACCACGCTTCGAATTATGAGTTCACCGACGGAGACGTGTCGAAGGTTTCTTGCATTAAATGCAGACCGTCAGCGCAAGTGCAAGGAGGTGGAGAAAGCTGACGGAAATCCCAGCTGATTCATCATTGGAGCAGGGCTGGTGAGATTTGAAATTTGAAAATGAAATTTGATGCAAGGACTCGACATCCTTCCAACCACTTCGAAAAGATACTTGCCGTGGGGTTGGGCTGGTGGCACTTCACCTTCCATGCCACATGTGATGTCGTGAAAGAAAACGGCAGGTTTTCTGTGGGACAGAAGCAGGTGGCTGGTCTGCCATTTTGGCTCAAGCTGACCAGCCACCCTGCCATCATGTGGTCTTTTGTCCACTCCCACCCGCCCAGTGGTGGAGAAAGCTGACGGAAATCCCAGCTGATTCATCATTGGAGCAGGGCTGGTGAGATTTGAAATTTGAAAATGAAATTTGATGCAAGGACTCGACATCCTTCCAACCACTTCGAAAAGATACTTGCCGTGGGGTTGGGCTGGTGGCACTTCACCTTCCATGCCACATGTGATGTCGTAGAAAAAAACGAAGGCAAAGGAAAAGGAAGAAGAAAAAGGAGAAGAACAAGAAGAAGTACGTTGTTATAAGCACAGTTGTCCATTGCTAAATGAGCACCCTTCAGTTTGACACATCATGCCTTTACAGTACTTTACAGGGTCCAAATTTACCAACAAAAGTATCAACATTGTATCAACATTGTATCAACATTTTGGAATGAGCCCGTTTTCGACCTCCATGAATTTCTGCTTTGCCTCTGGGGACCTGTGAGATCCTGTGAGATGGAATGTCATTGAATTTCCCTCTGGCTCACATAGGATACATAGGATACATAGGGGTATACGCAGCTTGTACGCAGCTTGGATCAACTTTGGGCATTTTCTCTGCCCGAGGTCGGTTCTGGTTCAGTAGATGTCGATCCAAGCCTGTCGTCCACGGACCAGGTTTCTATTGGTGGTTGGACACTTAGATTTGTGATGATTTGTGTGTATCAATGCATTGGCATCTCAACCATTTTCAACTAGTTTGATGAAGCGTGGTGTCTCTGTTTGGAGGCTCCTCTTTTTATCAAAACAAACGATTCAAAAAGACACACATTGACGAATTATATAATATAGTACAGTATAAGTATAATATCGTATAATATAATATAATGTATATGTATATATATATAATATTAGTTGTATGACGTTCTTCAGTGTATGAGAAGTTCCTGAGGTTGGGAGACGACTCAATCTATCAGGTGGAACCTGTATGTTACATGGTACATGTTCCTCGCACATGGTGGTTCTGAAAGCGAGGAGCCTAGTGAGAGCAACCGGACTAACTTGCCACGGCTTTGGCTCTTTGGAATAGCCATGTGAGACAAATGGACCTTAGATGCTTGTGGCCATCGGCCTTCCCATCATATATCGCGATCCAGGTCAATCCATGTTTGCACTTCGCATTCATCATATTCATCCCACCAACTCATCCAACTCCCAAACCAAACTCTTTGTTTTGCAGGCTGAAAGTAACCACTCAGTCAGCTGAAGGATCCGCTGAGGCGAGTTCCCCATAGTTCCCGAAGAGAGAAGTCATTAAAGTATATTAAAGTGAAGTTCAGATTTGCTTGACTCTGACCCTGGCGGAAAAAAATGATGCCTATCACATATATATAATATATATATGTATATAAAGGATTATAAAGTTATATTATAAAGGTATTGTTTAAGTGAAAGAAAACGGCAGGTTTTCTGTGGGACAGAAGCAGGTGGCTGGTCTGCCATTTTGGCTCAAGCTGACCAGCCACCCTGCCATCATGTGGTCTTTTGTGACACTTTTCTTTGGGTGCGCGGTCAGCTGCAATGTATCCCGTCCAGTCCGATGCTATGAGGATGCAATCTATTGGGGCCCTTCGCCAGCACTACAATTTGCCGGACAACGTGTGGAACGCGTTCGTGCAGATTGCGGGGGACCCGATGGACGACATGCGACTTTTAGCTGTCCTACCTCCAAGCATTGTCTCGGCAGCGCTGGAGCGAAGTCAGTTGCCGGACGGGAGCTATTTGAGCGCAGTGCAGGCCTCCCATGTGGGATTAGTCTACAACTTATCCAGGCGCATACAACACACCCGAAGCGGTGGGGATTGGGATGCTTGGGTAGAAACATCCCCATTTGGAGATCAACGCATCACGGTGGAGCCTGCGGTGACGAAGGATGCATCAGACAGCAACGAAAGGAAAATGAAAATGACACAGATCTTGGACCAGATGGACGATGGGGACTTTACGGTGCAGACGGAGGAGATGAGAGCCAAGTGGTACCAAAGGTATGTCCAAGTGGTGGGGGGCTATCCGCCGGAAGAGGAGGACCCGACGTTGGAACAATTGTCGGCGTTGCAGAAACGCATCGAGAAGCAGGACACAGCCCCATTCGTGGACTTTGCGATCTATGTCCCATTTGGTCAAAGGGCATTAAAGGCATCGAAGTTCCGCACATTCGTCCTTACATCCAGCGGGTACGTGACGAAGGAACTACCAGGTCCAGCAAACTTCAACCAGTGGCGAACGTGTTACAGGCTTTTAAAAACGTCTCTGTTGATGCTGGACGCAGTGGGCTTAGCAGCACTCCAAGCCTACGAAGCCACAATCGAAAGATTGGCAAGAAACTATCCCACGTGCTGGCATTTGATATACAGCGCAGACGAGGTTGCAAGGTCGGCTCAGGCGAACAGACTGAGGTCGAAGCTGGTCATGGAAATCAAGGCAGGGCAACAGCAACCCGATGGATTTGCCCTCAATCGCCCATGGGACTACATATATGGAGCTCTAGCACGGGACGAAGGATTCTGGCAGACGCAGGTGGTATCACCAGCCCTAACATGGATTGCGGCAGGTTCACATGGCATGCCCCGCACTCCAGCGGAACAACTCGCCTCAGGGCACATGCAGGGAGGTCTCAGCGCCATCACACCTGTCGTGGAGTCCTACAACAACAACACGAAGGCACAGGGCGCAACAGAGCCATCAAGGAGGAGAAAACGCAAGTGGAGGAACGATCAAAACGCTGGAGAAGATTCAAGGCCTTCAAAGGGAGCAAATCCAGAAAAAGGAAAAGGAAAGGGAAGCAAAGGCAGCAGCGGCCAGAAATGCTATTCTTGGAACAATGGCAATGGAGTCTGTGGTGCACTCGCCCCTGGACAGAAGTGTCAAGCTCGGATTCAACGTCTACACAAATGCACCATTTGCGATTCACCGGGCCATCCAAGCAGGGAGTGCCCGAAGAACAAGGACCAGTGAAAGTTTGCGGAGAAGGTCAACAACACGAAGGTACAGGTGCAAAATCTGAGAAGCCTGAGCCCAAGCCGGAAGCGGAGTCCTCAGCAGAGTACACCTACACCTACGAGACAGACGAAGGTGAAGCTGAAGACGGTGACGAAGGCCAGGTGGATCCTGATGAAAAGGACCCATTGATGTCACAGACATTGGAAGAATACTATCAGAAGAGGGTTTTCATCTTCATCCATCACTTCGCGGGCCCTGCAGACCCACTCACAACAGCCATGAGGAACGAAGCCCTCAAGCAGGGCATCAGGCTCAAAGCCTACAGTGTAGAGAAGGAAAGCGGCACCGGAGATCTCCTAGCCGATGAACCGTACAACACCCACTTGAGGTGGGCGAAGCGGGGCTATGTCGATGCATTTCATGCAGGATTTCCATGTTCTACATTTTCGCGTTTGAGGTTCCGGCGAAGGGAAGGTTTACCGGGGCCAGTTCGGACGAAGTTCGAGCCTTATGGACGGCTCACCAACAACCCAGCTGCCCAAGCTGAATGTGACCGGGGCACCGTCATGGCATGCAGAGCCATAGACATGGCCACAGCAGTAGGGGAATCAAAACGAGTGTCAAGCGTGGGTGCAATAGCAACTCTTGAAAATCCCCCGCCATCAAATGAGCCCGAACACCTGTCAGCTTGGGAGTTGCCGGAGATGGAGAAGTTCAGAAGGGTCAGACCGAGCCAGGGGGTGATCTTCAACACCTGCAGGTATGAAGAGGATTTGGAACTGGGAAAGCGCCACTTCAAGCCTCAGCAGTTCGAAGGCACATTGAGGGGCATGCAATGCCTGTCACTCGAATGCACTTGCGGGGAACCGGGCAACCATGAATCGATCACGGGCCCCGCAAAATCCAAAGCCTCGGCAACATACCCCAAGGCCTTGTGTGAGGCTTACGCAAGACTTGCTGCGGAACAATTGAAATTGATGGGCAAGGAGGAGTTCTTAAGATCCCGTATGGCGTCGCTGCAGAACACCATCGACGTGGCGAAGGCTCGGATTGTGAAAAGAGACGAACCATTTGGCCCTGACGCCCACGTCCAAGACGAGAAGAAGACGAAGGCGAAAGAAGCCAGATCGAGGTCTAGGAGAAGAGTCCATTACCCTTCCCTCAGTCCTCCTACAAGACGGGAATACAAAGCGGCGACGATGCATGAGAGGCCCAAAAGCCAAGCAAGGCCACCTCTCAAAAGAAGGAAAAGGAACATGAGTCCTCCCGAGGTCAAACTCAAGCCAGCCAAGGACGCGTTGAACACTCCCGAAGCGTATTGGCAAGGTGGAGAAGGAAAACATGAAGCGCTCAGGCCAAGCACTTCGAAGGAAGCGGATCCTTCTCTGCTGGAATTCGTGGGAGGCATGAAGGACCCATACAAGGTAGTCTTGCCCAGGGCCACGCTGTTGTCACTGGGGCTGCGGATCAGGGCGGCATGGGAAACGCTGGAGAGGAGACACAAAGATGCACATGAAGTTTCAGAGAAATATGGAACGCCTGACTGCGAGATGAAAGACCACCTTGTGAGGGAGTGGAAAGCAGCTCTACGCAAAGTGCTAGGAGCTCAAGCGCCGCCTGCAGTCAAGATCAAACCAAGGTGGAAGTATGTTTCGCCCCTGGACCCGGAACTGCTGGAAGCCTGGGTCTCGAAAGGAGCTGATCCAGACGACGCTGTGCCGAATTGGGTGAGAAACGGGGCTCCTCTGGGCATAGAAATGCCCATTCCGGTCAAGGGCATATTCCCGAAGAATGTCGAAGGCTCGAACTTGGACTACCACGGCAACCACGAATTGGAAGACGCCGAAGCCCAGATGAGCCACGGAGAAATACTCAACTACACCTCCGTCCTGGAAAATTTGGAAGACGCCCGCATTGAGCTGAACAGGTACAAAGCGGAAGGCTTCATGGTTGACGTCGACAAGGAGACGGTGCAGAAGGAAATGTCTCATGGGACCATCAGCCGCTTGGGCCTTATTGTGAAGCAGAAGCCCGAGGGAGTCAAAAGACGCATCATCTTGGATTTGCGCCGGTCTGGAGGCAATCGCAAAGCAGTGCTACCAGAGAAGTTGGTGTTACCGAGACCACGAGATGCGGTCGCTATGATGAGGGACGTGTACAACCAACGCAGAGGATGCGGAAGCGGCGAAGGCTACACACGTGAGCTGGTAGTGGTGGACATCTCGGACGCTTTCATGTCCTTGGCAGTTCACGAAGCTGAACTACCACACACCCTTGCACCTCACGTAGATGGCGAAGGTTTCCATCTATTTGTCGCCCTCCTCTTCGGCTTCAAAACAGCTCCGTTGTTGTGGTCTCGAGTGGCAGCACTCGTTTCCAGACTCCTTCAGTCACTGGTCCAAGGCAACGAAGCCCAGCACCAGACATATTTGGACGACGGTTTGTGGATCCTCCAAGGGACGCTGAAGGAGAGAAACAGCATACTTGCAATGGTCATCACGACACTCTTCGCCTTGGGCCTGAAGGTTTCCTTAAAGAAAGGCTTGAGATCATCTCAAGTGCAATGGGTGGGCGTCAGATTCACACTCAACGAGGACGCCATCATCTTGGGCCTGCCTGACAAACTTATGTCGGACTTGCTACAAGTCCTCAAATCTTGGGCAAATGCTGGCATGGCACCGATAAAGGAGCTGAGACAGGTCGCAGGCCGCACCTCCTGGGTTTCAGGGATTTTGCCACGTACGCGATGGGTTGTCGCCGTATTTTACAGAGTGTTGCACGAGAGGCTGAACGACATAGCGTCAGGCAAGGAAGAAGAACGTCGCCAGCATCGCAGGGACGACAGAGCCAAAGGAGGCCTCTTCGTGGTCAAGCAACTGGAACAACCGCGAGTGTGGCTGATCAAATACTTGGAGGTGGCGATGACAAAACCCACGAGGCGCCTCAAGCTTGACACCACGAAGTACCCGAAGGCCACAATCGTCACAGACGCGTCGCCTCTGGGTGCGGGCGCAATTTTGCTTATCAACAACCGCATCACGAAGGCATACACCACCAAAGTGACGCACAGAGATGCCAGGCTCCTAGGATTTGAGGACAGCTGGGAACAGGCAGCCTCTCAAGGTATTGCAGAGACGTTATCGGTGTTGCTGGCCCTCAAACATTGGGCGAAAGAACTGCAGTCCTGCCACGTGGAGCTTCAAGTGCAAAGCGACAGCTTGGTGGCCTTGGCAACAGCGAAGCGTCTGTCGAGCTCTACATCGACGCTGAACTTTCTTGGCGCCGAGATAGCCTTGGTATGTGAAGAGATCGGCATCGAAGGACTTAGGACGTCCCACATTCCAGGGTCGGCCAATACGTCGGCGGACTGGCTCAGCAGGCCAGACAAGATTGCGAAGGATGAAATGCCAGTGGAACTCAAGGGAATCCCCATACACAATGATTTGCAAGTTCGGGGACCTGAGTTTTACCACTTGGCACCGCCGCAGTTGGCCCCGGATTTGTGGCGTCCAAGTACAGCGGCCAACAACGCTTGGGCCTCGCTGCACTGACATATCTGAAGGACAAGAAAAGGCTGCAGTAAGGTCACAGCATGCAAGGTAAAGTCACTTCATGCGGTTCGGATCATATGGAAATTGGGTCAATTCACCCGTAGCCATTTGCAGAATGACAGATTCAGGCATTGTCCCTTACGTGCCGGCTGGGCCACCAGCGCTCCTTGCTGTGCCATGGTATCCTTCGACATGGGGCTACGTGGCACTGCTCACCCTCCTACTGGCGAGCTGGGGCATAGTAGCTTGGTGCCTTTGCTGTTCCGCAACCGAGTCAACACCCAAACAGCAGCAACTCAAGCAGAAGGGTGCCTCTTCCGCTTACTCCGGGACCCTCCCAATGTCGCGGTACCCCAAGAAAGGCGTGTCTTTGGCGACGTTTATCACAAGGAGGGATCAAGTGTGGAGAGATCATCAACTGAGGGGAGGCGACTGCTGGCTAGTGCTGGATTAGCCGACAACACCTCAGTCGATGGACCCAATGCCCCCTTTGACAAAGAGGAAACAATCACGTCAACAGAGCTCTATGGCACGAAGGATATGTGGGACATCACCTCTCCCAAATCTCAGTCGGGGAAGAGTGAAGGTAGCCCCGAATCGATGAACAAGTTCCCGCCAGATCCTCCCTCGAGCGTCCCAGAAGGCGCACAACACAAAGGGCCTTGGTGGAGAGAACTGTTAGCTTCACCTGTGAAGAAACTACGCCTAGCCGAACTGGGGCGCAACTTCAGAGCTCTAGCTATGCCCTCTTACGAACTGCCGCCAGTGGAAACGCCTACAACAAGCATTTTGCCGTTCGACATGCACACGAAGGCTACGGATCAGTCTCAGGGGTCTATCAAACCTAAGGGCACATTAGCCAAGGTTAGGAAAGACCTTCCAAAGAGGTCGTCTGGTGCGAAGCTACCCAAGCCCAACAGAAGGTCGGCGGTGAAGCTCGCAAAAGCGAAATGCGCCCTGGCTGGCATCGTAGCAAGGGTGGAGAGGGACTTTTGTGCAAACTCTTCGAGAGCAGCACGTGCATCAAAGCGCAACACCATCAAACAAATACTTTGTGCAGGTAACGAGGGTTTCCCGTTGACACCATTTTCCCTGAAACTACTTGCTGGCACTCTACGCGAATCGGGCTACAAATCGGCTCACTCCTATCTCATCGAAGCCAAGCTCGAACATGTGGAGGCCGGACATCACTGGACGAGTCTGTTGGATCGTCATTTCAAGCTTTGCATGGCAGCCGCCAAACGAGGAACAGGACCTCGAAAGAAAGCAGCAGAAGTACCCGAAGGGACATGGACCGACCATTCATTGCTGGAGGACCCTTCCGTGGCCGGCCTGAAGGTTCTACATTCAGCGCTGCTGTTCGCTTGTGGTGTTCATTGGATGATGCGGGAGATTGAACTCTCGAACTTGCACACGGAGGACATCAGATTCGACTGTGCAAATCGAATGGTCACCATCCTTTGGAGAGAATCCAAGAAGGATACCGAAGGCATCGGCATTTCACGCACGCTTCAGTGCTTGTGTGAGAATGGCTGCGATCTGAAGTGCCCCTACGCAGTGTTGGAGACTTTGGTGAACCACGCGACGCTGAGGGGAACTCCGATGGGGGCCATCGCGATGGGCAAGAGGGGGCGCCTGGCCACCAAAGCCGACATCGTCCACGATTGGAGGAAACTGTACGGCAAGGACGTCACGGGCCACTCGACTCGAAGGAGCGGTGCCTTACAATACATCAGAAAGGGATGGGCAGTATCTCAAGTAGGATACCTGGGCCGTTGGAAGAGCAACATCATCATGGAGTACGCGCAAGAAGCCTTGGAATCCATGGCGGTGAACAATACACAATGTTTCGGTGTCAGCGGAGCTCAACTACAGATGGCCCAACAGCTGATCAAAGGAAACGCTCAGTGCAACGACAACCAACAGCTCTTGGTGACGAAGGCAGATGCCGTGGTGGTGCAGAAACTGAAAGAGGAGTTGGAAACATTCAAGGGACACACCTTGGGTTCACATGTAGCGTTGGAAAACGCCATCAAGGATGTCGAAGACCAAGTGACTCAGTCTTCGAAATATTTACCCAAGATGGTCAAGTCGGTGAGACAACAGGTGATACATGCGAACGTAGTCACGCTGGTGTACGCACCACCTATCACCTGGAGGACAAAGTGCGGTTGGTATTACCACGCTTCGAATTATGAGTTCACCGACGGAGACGTGTCGAAGGTTTCTTGCATTAAATGCAGACCGTCAGCGCAAGTGCAAGGAGGTGGAGAAAGCTGACGGAAATCCCAGCTGATTCATCATTGGAGCAGGGCTGGTGAGATTTGAAATTTGAAAATGAAATTTGATGCAAGGACTCGACATCCTTCCAACCACTTCGAAAAGATACTTGCCGTGGGGTTGGGCTGGTGGCACTTCACCTTCCATGCCACATGTGATGTCGTGAAAGAAAACGGCAGGTTTTCTGTGGGACAGAAGCAGGTGGCTGGTCTGCCATTTTGGCTCAAGCTGACCAGCCACCCTGCCATCATGTGGTCTTTTGTCCACTCCCACCCGCCCAGTGGTGGAGAAAGCTGACGGAAATCCCAGCTGATTCATCATTGGAGCAGGGCTGGTGAGATTTGAAATTTGAAAATGAAATTTGATGCAAGGACTCGACATCCTTCCAACCACTTCGAAAAGATACTTGCCGTGGGGTTGGGCTGGTGGCACTTCACCTTCCATGCCACATGTGATGTCGGTTGCATAATGAGATGAATATGTGCTCACATGTGCCCACGCTTTGCAAAGAATTCACTATAAATACACACACACACACGGTTGTTCATAATGTTTCGCAATGAGGGGAAATTCGGTCAGAGCCGGATTGGATGCAAACTCAACGGATTTGGATGGATTTGGGATTGATCTTGAGTGCGTGAGGAACAACATCAGCGGCGGCAAGTCGAAAAGCAAGAAACCAAGGAGCTGCCTGGTGCCGTCACCAATTTCCTTCCGAAATGCTCCGAATATAGACGCAGGATGATGCAGGCATAAATCATATCTATATATAATAATCTATATTAATATAATGCAAAAGGGTAGGCAGTCTGGGACTCATGGTCAGCTAAGAAGAAGGCAAAGCAGGTTTCGCACGGCCTATGCTTTTGGTGCAAATTGACAGTGCCCTGACCCCAGAAGCGCATAAAGGATACTGCAGTCTTTGCAGGTGTAAAAACAACTTCAGACAAGCTGCCACACGAATCTGCTGTCAAATACCTCACCAGCCACGGCATCGAGCAGACTCTAGCAGACTGCATTGCAAAGTTGGTGAAACTAGGTTGCACATGGTTGGACATGGTTGCACTATGTTGCACTAGATTTCGTGCATTGTGATTCAGACGAGAGATGACGAGAGTTTTGGCATCGCAGCATGTGCCGTTCCTGCTGCATTTTCATCTCACTTCATGGCTTGCAAAGGGATGGCCATTCACATTGCAGCACGTTCTGTGCACGTTCTGTTTGCGAAACGAGTTCTGTGAGGAAAAAACAACCTGACGCTCGTGCCTGAGATCAGCCTGCGAGAACAAGCCTTCTACCAGAATCCAAAGTCAGATCATTTCAGATCAGTATTGTGAAAAAAAATGGAAATTGCACATCATAGTATCAAGATGTATCAAGATATTCCAAGACCATCCAAGCTCATCCAAGACATGCATTGAGTCCCGGTGTGTGTTGCAACCTCGGAATTCAGCGAGGACCCCATCGAGTTTCTCTGTCAACAGTTGCAAGACTTCAAGCTAAAGGCTGGAGTTGCAAGCTCAGTGAAACCAAGGCAGGGACGCAACCAGATACATTCAGATACAATGACATTCTAGTGGCAGACAGCGAACAACATGGACCCGTGATGAACAATGATAAATAATAACATGCAACACATACAAATATAATGCGACCAATCGCTTTCTTTCATGCGCATGTATGTTTTTGTTTTAATGCCAGATTTAGGTCCAAAACGAGGTGGCACCGCCTCAAAAGCGAGGTCACTAAATATTGCTCAAAAAGGAAAAATATGGAAGGATAAGAATATAAATAAACACCAAGTCGCAGGGTTGGAAAACAAAGTCAGCTTGTGATGTGAGTTGATGCTGTTAGTTAGTGCGGGTTCAAATCCCCCCGTGGGCGGTGGGCGCGTTGATGATGATGATGATGATGATGATGCATGATGCATGATGCATGATGCATGATGCATGATGCATGATGCATGATGCATGCTTGCGCGCTCTTGATGTAACAATGTTGCTGAGGCCGAGTCTTCTGGAACAGGCTGTGTGATTCGAGTCAAATTATGAGAAAATTCCAACTGAAGCAGCTATGCTTAATGTCATAATATGTCATAATGCAGTTTGGCCATGGGCCGCAGTGCCTTCACAATTCACAAATTGCAGGAAATTCCTGAATGTGTCGGACGTGCCCATTGCTCTTGTGCTGTTCAGTACCTTGGCATCCTGTATTTAACCGCCTTCGGCGGGTTCCGCCGGCCACCATGGAAAGAGCTATCCTGTAAGCTGCAAACCTTGCACAGGCCCAGCAAGAACATGGTTTTTGTGTAAAAAATAGTGTTTGTGGATAACACAGTTTTTGTGTAAAACAGCTCTTTGTGTAAAAGAGGGTTTGGACGCAAAAACATTGGTTTTGTTCAAACCGAGGTTTAAGTTTAGACCAAAGCATGTGTGTAAACCAAGGTTTTGGAAAAGGACAATGTGCTTCTGATATCTCATCATGTCATATAATTTCATATGATTATTTTCACTGCGTGTGCGTGACGCAAATGAATGAATAGGACAGGAGAGCTTAGAGATGCTTCGAGTTTTTCATAATTTTTCTGTAAGGTTCTTTGATCCCAATGCCTCAAAACCATTGGTATTTCGTAGAGATTTGGCTGGTGAGTGATTCAGCCACCAGCGCAAGCATGCTTCAATTCAATTGCTTCAATAGACAGTTGGGCCAATCACATTTTGATTGGTTTGATGAGGCTAGCTTTTTGTTAGTTGAGCTCTAGCCTAGAGCGCTGGGGGCAATTTCAGTGCCCCTACGAACACAAGTTGACATCAATTATTATAATCACGAAAGGTAGCGTCAGCTACCTGAGTTCTCCGTGCTTCAGCACAAGCTTAGGGGGTATTGGGGGGCCAGCCCGTGCAATTCATGGAATTCTCGCCGTTATGTATTGGATATCAATTATAAGGGGGGCCCCCCCCCCCCCGAAAATGGTCATGGGTTCAATTCCCACGGGTGACGCGGTCACGGGCCCCCACATTAGAGGCACACTTTCCATGAGGGAGATGTCCCTGTAGTCCAGCATAATTGGTATGCTTCAGCCTCAATAACAGTTGCTGCAAGGGGTCTTAAAAAGGGGTTTTAAATAAACCCCTTTTCGTGCATCATTTCACGCAGCACAAGACACAGTGTCATGCAGTCATGCTCTGGATAAAATCATCTTAGACTGCGCAAAAACGTTTTTGGTGTATCATCTTAGGGGCGCAGCATTTTGACACCACTCCTCTCCCACTACACTACCTTTCGTCCGCCTCCGCCTGCTCTCAAGTTCACAAATTGTCAGAGACATACAAGAAATCAATTATTGAAATCATGCAATCGTAGTGTGAGGCAGTTGGCCAAGCGGCACCTGCCCTTCGACTTTCGCGCTGACAGATCTGAGAGCGGATTTTTTTAGTGCTAACGAATGCTTGGAATGCTGGTAAAACCAGCCTCTCGCTGACTGCACGATTAGAGAAAATCTGTGCAACTCTTTGGATCTATTTGGGCTTAAAAGATCTTAAAAACAAGCCTTGCTATTGTAGCATGTGTTTGCAGATGTTTGCAGGTTCATTGTTCCTGGCTGTTTGTTTGTGTTGGGTTCTCACATCTCTCGGCAGGGTCCCTCCCATTTGGCAATGTCAGATGTTTGACTGGAGAGATTCAAGCAGGCTCGTTGGGTGTTGATGAGTTGTCACTGTGCTGCGGGATATTGAGGGCGCACAGCATAGATCTCATTGCTGCATGATACTCATACTTAGCTACAGATGCTACAGGCTACAGGTGATTTGCTGCTTGATTGCGCCATATCGCGCCTGTTGAGTCCTCTTGAGCTTTTGCTGTATTCGACTGATTTCGATTGTATAATAATATTGTAAATATAATGGTTTCTTTGATCATCACCTCCTGTCGCTGGATGTCGCTGGCAACCTGCGAGCTGGCTCAACTTTTTTTGCCGAAAGCGTTATCTAGTCTAGAGCAATGCCCGCCATTGCTCTGACTGTCAGCTACTCATGCGGTCTTTACTTGCTTGGTGTCCTCTTTGGGCTGGTCACTGCTACTGAAAAGGCCTGAATTGCATTGAATTGCATTGAATTGCTCAGACAGAAGCAGGAAGAATGAATGAGGACCCAAACGCGCTTCAGACATCTCTAGACACCTTGGTCGAAAGCTACTTACTGTATTGCTATCCTTTATTTCGGTCCGTGCTTTTCATGTAACATAGAGTCAGTGTTTGAGCAAAGCCTTTGCAGCTGCTTCAACTCATATCTTTATTTTTTATATATCCATTTTCTCAGGCGGGCCTTTCTCCTGCACTGCACAGCAGCTTGGTGTCATTACGACTGTGTTATATTTTTGGAAAGACCCTGCATAAGGGCCGCCGATTTTTTTGTTACAAAGTTCTTTAGTTGAATGATGTTGAACAGGCGAGGGATGGCTGGGCTCTTCCGACTTTTTCCTTCAGTTCGCAAAGGCGTTGCGCAGCACATATTATGCAAATATATGCAATATGCATGATTATGCATGTAGATCATGTAGAATAGTGTAGAATTTGCATTTGACACACAGGCGCACACAGTCATGTGCGCGCACACTTGAACATTCAGCAGAATATCCTGCTCTCTACCTTTGGTTTGAACTGCTGAAGTTCGGATCTGTTCCAGACAAGGTACACTTGGCTGGTTACTTAGAAAGCCAAGGACCAAGAATTCAAAAGTACAATCAATGCATTCAGGTCTTGATTGATCGAGCTGATTCAGATTGCGGCAACCCTGCAACACCTGAGACCTAAACAACCTGAAGAAAACAACTTGGCCAACAGTTTGATACAGCAGGTACAGGTGAATGATCAGTTCACCCTTACCCCAGGTGTCATTTGACCTGAGGCACTGGGGGATGAGGCCGGCCAATAATGGTTTGAATGGATTGAAGCAGCATCAATGCCACTCCCTGCAGCCAAGATGCTGCTCCTTACAACATGTTCTTTGTGTTTTTCATCGTTTTTCACTCTAAACTGACTGACTTCAGTCAGATAGGCTCATTCAGCGTACAATGGTTCGATGGTATTAGCCTTAGCTATAGACTGGTCATATAGGTTTGCTGATAGGTAGCAATGTAGGCAGGCAGATAAACATTTGCCTGGTTTCTTTCACTGCTCAAAGAATGACATTTTTTGATTCAACAATTTCTGATTCGGTGGAGGCTCAGCGAAGGTCCTTGGTTTTCTTCTGTCACTCAAAGCACCGCACTACTTGTATGCAGACTCTCTTGCAATTCCTCGCAGATTGCGTTTTCTTGCAAGTCTTCCCTGCCATCACATACCATGCTGATCCACACTGATGCTGTCACATTTTTTCCCCTCTCTGAGCTGATAAGTAGACTAAGTAGATAATTTTCGCGCAATTGTTTTGTGCAAGTCTTCGAATTCAGAATCAGATGCTTCGATTAGAAGACTGAGGTGACGATGAATGTATCGGCCCAGAGGGGAGCTGTGAACTTTCAGCTGTGCAGCGGCGTTCGCTGGCAGTACGCAACCGAGAGGCTCACGGAATGCAGAAAGTCAGAGTCTGGGGGTCTTGGGGTACCTCGGAATTATCAAAATGCTTCATACCATTTCAATCCATTTCATAACCCTACCTGTCATCAGTCTTAAAATCGACTAGAATCAAGCAGCTGCTTAGGATTTGGGAGCGTGAAAGAATCCTTTCCAAGTCCACTGCGGCCAGGTGCCTTTGTCCAACGACTCTGCGACGGCTTTGCATGTGTCCAACACATCAAATATTACGTTACCAGCATCGGCATGCGCAAGTGGTCGGCAAATCCCATTCTCAAATCGTGGGCCTGGCAATGAATGCTTTGCATCCAGTCTGGGTGATGAGTGCGAATATGCGTGCAATGATGGCTATATCGGTGTCGGACGGCATGTTTGTCAGACAATCTACATCGAAAATGAGGCCGGTGTAAGATGGTGTAAGTACATGCAAAGTGTGCTGGGCTAAAGGCTTGTTAATGGCTTGTTCATATGCACGTCCATGTACATCAGCCAGCTGAAATATCATACAGCATCATACAGTTATGTACCGGTTTACTTACATGTGAACATGTGCCGTTTTTGCGTTTCTCTTGCGGAATTCTCCATCTTAGCTTGCAAAAGATCGAGCTTCCATCCGCATCGCAGTTGGTGCTTTCTTTGTGTTCTGTGCAAGTCGAATCCTGCTTCACTGCGAGGCTGTACAGGTCTGGAAGAATAGTTCCTTTTTCGGCGGCAACTGTTGGCGACTGTGCTCGGATTCTCCGACATGCACTGGGCAAGTGCCTCTGCGGGTCAACTCCTCTGATAGCATGGGCCCGTGCATGAAGACCCTCTACTGAAGTGAAATGTGTGAATGGGATTTGATGCGTGGGATCCGGAAAGCATCTCAAGCTCCCGTCCATCCACATTCACCAAGCACATGCAAAACAGATAAAAGGAATGATCAAGGCAGCCCTTGCAACATGAGGACCACCTGCTTTGCCACGCCCAAAGATGCGTTCATGAACGTTGCCCGCGGGAATTACGATGCTTGGCCACAGGAAGGGTCAGAAATTCGGATGGAGAAAGAGAGACTGCACTGACTGCACTTGCTGTTGTGATGACGTGCTGTGTAGTGATGTGTAGTGCATGTCCAGCTTTTTTCCACGCCTCTTGCACAGTTTTTCTTACACAATCTTACAATTATCTTACACATATTATTATTTATTACTACTACATACCGGTACTACTACTAGTATTATTATTGTTGTATATGTTCTATACATTGAAATGCAGACTGCACTTTTTTAATGTGCTCGTGACAGCAAACCATTTCGTTGCATTTATATATTTGCATTGATCCGTTCCAAGGAAATCTGGAAGCTTGCACGTGATGAGGTAAGTGGTTGCTACTCAGCTGGCTCGGAGAATTATCTACAAATTGCAATTTTTCTGGGTTAATTAATGTTAATTATTCATTGTTTCTGGGTTATAATTTGTTGGTTATGTTGGTTCAATTTGTTGATCAACACGCTTGCTGTTTAATATCTGTTTAATTTGTGTCCCTTGCGTGCAGCTGGACCCCCTTGGCCACAAAAGTCTCGAGGCTATGCGGACCACGTGGACCTCGACACACAGGAGGCCAAATTTTTTGTGCTACTGTATATATTATATAATATTATCATATGTGAATATATAACACTATATAGTTCTCCCATGTATAGCTCCCCATGAAGTGGATATACTTTGCATCTATAAAATTGGATTCCGGTCGCCACTTTAAAAACACCGACCATAGGGGGATAAAGCCGTAGTTTGCGCAAAAATCGCGCCCTTGGATCTACCAAGATGACTTTATAACACGGCTGCTTTCCCACAAGGAAACGGCTCAATATATGCAGCAATGCATTGGATAACACGTTGCTTCCCTTCAAAGAATGGCTATAACATGTTACACCATGATACACCATGCACATTATAGAAAGATGTCTCCCCAATGATTTTGGACCAATGTCTTTTTGCTGGAGCTGTAGACATGGCAAAGCATTTTATAGATGGACGATTCCCATTGAATTCAGAGTCATTTATGGGCCCAGTGTTAGTCATCAGAGGGGCTACTCATCACATCATGGTTGCAATTCAATAAACTGTTCTTTCATTCAAAATTGCTAAATTAAACAAACATGTTTCCGTTCCGAAACATTCAAAGTCATTCCTTTTCATTCTTTTCCATTGCGGTCTTTCGACTCCCAATACCATTGCCGTCTCTTGTCTCTTGAGAGCAATGCCACGACAATTCCATTTTCACTCCAGTCTAGGGTATACGTGTGGCATTTCGGATGTAAAGCATTCCAAAACACTCCACAAAATTCACCCAATTCAAAAAAAAAAAACGCACACATTTATATAATTTTATATAGAATAAGTCCAAAACTTCGCACGCATTCAAACAAATCAAAAAGAAAAAACTAACCAGTTCAACAACAAAGAGAAAGCAATAACATTCATCAAACAACTAAAACATTCAAGAACAGAACATTCAGAAATCAAAACCATTCAAGGACAGCAGAAACATCCAATCAAACTCAAGACATCCAACACAGTCGGGGGAACTTAAAATGACTTATTTTGAATGCCTCTATCAAGGCTCATGAGTACCCCTTCCCAGAGAACTCCCCCAAAGAAGAAAGAAGGACACTTTTGATTGCACTCATGGCATGTTATCAAAAACGTTGCTGCAGAGCATCATCCAAAGCATTTTTCACAGTTGAACTTGTGGACAGACCATTTTTATAAAGGATTATAAAGACTATAAAGGTAAGTACTTCGCAGGAACCCGGGCACCCTCTCGATCAAGATCCCTGAAAAAACAAAACATGGATGTTGGTTGGACCACTTTATACATTTGCCAGGAGTTGGGGAGTCCCCGTCCCGTTTTGGTTGGTGTCAAAAAATAGGTAAGAGACCCAATTGGTGCGTCCCCATTTTGTTGCGTGGAACCACTCTGGGAGGACGTTGTTTTTGATGTCGTTCGATTCCCATGCCACCGATTCCTAAAAGGAATCCTCCCCCAAAAGTTTCATCGTGGCCAATGGCACTTTATAATACTTTATATACAATGATTTCGATACCTCCATTGATGTGGTTAATGCAACCATCGATGTTATGAAGATCGTTGCTGGGTAATGCACATTGTAGTGCAGGGGTTGCACATCGGTATTGTTTGGATGTTGCTCCTTTCACTTTATAGTATATAATGGGACATGTTCACAAATACTATCAAAAATCCATCCTAAGTACGTGGCCAGGTCATTTTATACAACGTTGGTTTGTGACTTTATAGCCAAAACATGTTGGTTTTCCACTTTATACATCCTCATAATGTGGCCATTGCAGTTTATACCAGGCTATATTTTGTATAGACTCGGCCCCAAAGCATCTAGGGGCTATACATGGGGAGTATATATATATATTTACATAAATATGTAAGTATGTGTGTATATGAGTAATTATGTGTGCATGTATAAGATATGTTATGTATAGTACACTATGTACCATATGCAAAAGATACGTATATATGTGTAATTGATTAGATTAATGTGCAATATGATTATATAGTAAATTGTCTTAAAATTGTATATAATTGTATTAATATCATAACTGATATAAGCGAACACATATTGTGAAACCATGGTTGTGTGTGATAGCCCCTTCCATGTTTCGAACCCCTTGAGGCACACTTGGGCTCTTCAGATTCGACTGGCATGGGTTTGGTCATGGAGTGCGTTGCAGATGCCATGGGCTGGATCTCCCGCGAGGAGAACATTGGCCGTGGTCTCACAGGTTTAATGAACGAGAATGAACGTCTGAACTTAATTTGATTTGTTTGGTTGTTATATGTTGTTATTCTTGCTTGCAACTTGGATGCATAACAGGAATACCCTAAACTGTTACGGCTGTAACAACTCCCTTTCCTGACCGTTTCAGTTAGTAAAATAATAGTACACATATAATTCCAGGATTGAACTTTGTATGTCAAATGTTTTAATTGCATTTTCACAGTCTTTTTCTCCGCCGGGAGGAATTTCTGAAGCGCATCAACCGCACACTTTCATCCTATGCTGGAATTCCACCGCCAAATCAGACCTGGAATTTCAAGCGAGGTCCCAGAGGCTGGGTTCCAAGGTTCTACGACATCCGCAGTGGAGATTTGCTCGCCGAGGCGTGGATGCAGATGTGCAAAAGTCTCCCAGGCAAATCATGTGTTTTCACGTCCTTCCAGGTCCTTCCATCCTGGTTTTCTCATACTAGTACTTAGATATCGATGTACTTAGCATTTCTTTATATTTCTTTTATCTAGCAATCTAGCATTGCTGTGCTTTACTTTTACACTTTGTTCATCACCCTCCATCGGTGTGCCCCAATAGGATGGGGGGGCTGGAGCCCCTTAAGAAATAACGGATGCATTGTGAAAATAAAATGGGTCAGACCCCGCCATTTTACTTTTTTGAAAGGATTAGCCCATGAACATAGCTGACAGAGAAAGCAAGATAGCAGAGATGAGCAGCTATGAACATTTTGCATTTTCTGCGGGGATTGTGAACAACATGAAACAACAGTTGCTGTCGAATTTATCCGTCATTTTTTGGGGCAAAGTCTTGTGAAACGCACACAGCCTTGGACTATTTCCACCAAGATATGTGCGTTTCTCCATGGGATGTCCCTTAGTAAATTAGCAACGATGAAAACAAGGCCAACGTATGGTTAAATTATGTCAACAATGTTGGAGATTGCTGGGTAGGAAAGATGTGCTGCAAGGCTCCATGCGGAAAGTATGCAAAATCAATTTCGAAAAGTCGAAAAACGAAAAGTCGAAAAGTGGAAAGGTTTCGTTTTGAATTTTGAAAAGTCGAAAAGTCAAAAATCAAAAAGTCGAAAAGTGAAAAGGTTTCGTTTGAATTTCGAAAATAGTCGAAAAGTCGAAAAACAAAAAGTCGAAAAGTGAAAAGGTGTCAATTTCGAAAAGTCGAAAAGTAAGAACGGGTATGAACGGGTTATTTTTTATTTCGAAAAATCGAAAAGTATACTTTTTGACTTTTCACTTTTTGACTGTTTGAATTTTTGCCGGATGCCCTTCCAGCCGAACATGCGCAAGCTCTTTTTTACAGCTTAGGGAGATTGGGCCCTGCCATTTTTTGAGTTTCCAAGAGAAATAAGAGAAACACGCAAGGATAACAAGATTGACAGGGGGAAAAAATGCCAGGGCCCACCTTTAACATTTGCATACATTTGCATCATTTGCCGTTTTGGAGGGACCTATGCGGCCTAACCCCACTTTCTTTTAGTGTGTGTAGCTCGTATTTTCCCATCTTACCTTATGCCCCATCATTTTATTTCTATTTTTTTGTTTGGCCCCTGCATTGTCATATATGGTAATATAGTGTATTCCCCAAACAGTGTGGCCACACTTAGGGGTTCTTCCGATAGCTGCTAAGGCTTGATTTTCATTTGAGGTGGTCTCATGCGTGTTAGCATTTTTTGGAGACCTCGACAAAAAGCGGCTGAGACCTATAGGTAAAACATCGTTTTTGAATGTTTTTGACATGTTCAATGTTCATTTTTTGTGGTGCGCGCACTGTTTTGTGTACATCTAATATATGTGCTCGCGCCACCCTCTCGTCACTTTGGGCGTGTCGGATCGCTCTCGCTGTGGCGCGGTGCGAATTTGATAGTCAAAGAGATCTTGCGCAGGGATCTTGACAAGGAGATTTATAGAGAGCTTGGACAGAGATCTTGCCACGGGGGCCTCTTATAGAGATCTTGTACGGAGAGCTCTTAAAAAGATCTTGCACGGAGATCTTTCCAAGAGGTCTCTTACGGAGAACTTGTCAACAGAGCTCTTATGCACAGAGATCTTTCCAACAGAGCTGTTATAGAGATCTTGTACAGAGACATTGCAGCGAGATCTGTTGCAGAGATCTTGCCAAAGGAGGTCTCTTTCAGAGATCTTGCCAACAGAGCTGCTATAGAGATCTTGTACAGAGATCTTGCCAGGAGACCTTTAATAGAGATCTTGTACGGAGACGGAGACCTGGTGAAGAGGACGGAGATCTTGCTCAGGGATCTTTTATATATAGATTATATATATGGAGAGCTTGAACAGTGAGATCTCTTACAGAGATCCTCTGTGGAGATCTCTTATAGACACCTTATACAGGTAACCTTACAAAGGGATTTTGCACAGCAGCTTCTACAAAGAACCTGTCAAGGAGATCTTGCGCACGATCTTCTGCAGATCCAATCTGGCATCTCTTCTTCCAGAGACCACCTTGAATGAACACCATGCTTTATAATCCTTTCCGCCTTTCCCTTTAAAATCCTAACTGCTACACACTCTTTGGGGTCTCTTGCCGGATAATTCCCGGGGTCCCACCCCACCCCTCCCCCGAGCACCACCCGAGGGTGTTCATTTTTATCCTCCCTTTTGGGACTTGTTGCAGGGGACCGAGGAGGAGATTGGAAAGACATGGTCAGTTATGTCCACTGGTCTTTTCTACTCAGGAGCTACTTGGTGCGAAGATGCGTGACGGTTGTCAATCATCAAAATGCAAAGGCATTGATGTCACTCCATTCCGTCCCCATCTACCCAGGTTGTTCCTAGGTTCAGCTTAAATTTTTCATGCGTGCGTGTCTGTGTCTCAGGTTCTTTTTGCGCAGACCTATTTGGAGAATATTGGAGCAAACAAGTCGAGCTCCTAGCATTTGGGCCATATGGGCCACCACTGTGATATAGATCATCAAAAAAACAAAGTGGGATACCTCATGGTCCTCATGCGATACCAAGTGGAGTGAACATTTTGCATGTAGCCATGGCACAGCCCAAGTAAGATAAAGTAAGTAGCAAAGAAGATGTGCCATTTGTGCCATTAGCTCCGCTGGAGGAAATCGCCCCTGGCTGGTTATATCATTGATCTTGCTGCCAGGCAGTCCATCCGACTGGTGGGTCATAGTGAGCACAGTGAGCACAGTAGCAATTTTGGCACACGGCACACAAATTTCATCCAATTTCTGTATATAATTGTCAGATGTCGCCAGATGTCACCAGTGGGCAAATTACCGAAACTACCACCTGTGCCGTCTTGTGCCACTCAACTTGGTCAAGCATGCTTAATTGGTTTAATTATCTGAGGGGATCTCTCAAGGGCTCAAAGGACTAAGCCTTGTAATTATAGTAACATGACAGTCTGCAACCATACATAATTCCATGGAATACTTAGCGTTTCTTAGGGCAACTCTGATGCAGGATGATGAATATGGTTCAGTGGTCTCGCATGATGTGCTTCCAAGCGTTCAATTCAACAGCGCCTTGGCAGTGTGCTCACGTGTCATCCGTCAACTCTATTCCAGCACTTTTCATCAGTTTCCCGCTTTTCAACAATTTTCAGTGCAGACCATCCAATTTCTGATTGTTTTAAGGTGTCAAGTCTGGTGGTTGAGAAATGTTGAGAGCAGTATAGAGCAGTGGAATATAGTGGAATCATAGAGCAGTGGTTAAGGCAGTCGTGGAAGGATACAATGGCACTGGCATTCCGTTCCTCATGGACAGCGATGGCCATTGCCAAGCCATCATGTGGCCAGAGGCCGGGCTACAGATGGCTACCATGTTCTGTATTGCAATGGTGAGTACCGCAGAGATGGCAAAAGATCTGTAATGCATTGTAATGCAAAGATTGTACAGTAGAGAATAGGCAATGGGTAGAGGACCGCAACGAAAACGGCAATAAGCAGATACCACCAACATCCACCAACGGTCCAAGTTCAGACGTATATCTGCAATCCATTCGCGTACTAAGTTGATCTAAGTTGCACATTGGAGTTGCACAACGTCTGAGGCTACATGAGATTCGAATCCATATTTTGATCGAATTTTGCAGGTGCAAGTGTCGCTTTAAACGGCATCAAGACTGTCAACACTGTGAACAAATTAAAAGCGGTTAGAGGCCTAATTACTGTTTCAGTACATGCAGGAGAACTAAACACCATCCACACTTCTTTCTTTGCATTTGATTTGAGTACGCGCGATAAAGCATGTACACCATTGGGCCGGATTCGGCTCCGTCCACAAAGCGTCACACTTCAGCGCTATACTGCCTCACACTACAATGCATTCTGCATGCGTTCTGCTTTGTCACATTTTTTTTGAATTGCATCGGGTTGCTCACAAGGAAACTATACAAACCACCAGGATCCTCGAGTCAACACAATTCAATACAACATATACAACGCAGCACGCATGCGACCACTTTGGGTTTTGGCATCTTGTCAAAAGCCTCAACATTAAGTGAACAACTTAACTTCGACATGCTTGACAGATCTTCAAAGTATCTAATTTGTGTGTGTGTCTTTCCTTGGCTGTGTTTTTTTGTGTGTCTTTCTCCTGAATCAATGCCAGCACTTCCAAAATCTGGAAGGTTGAGCCGGGTCGCAAAATCATTTGTGTCTGTGATTTTCTGCATATAATCACTGGGTCACTGAAGAATCTTTCACAATTTGCTCTTTGACTTGTGACAGGGCCTAGGAATATATATAATTATACAATATATATATGTATAATATATATATATATAATCTTTACACACACACACATATATATATATATAAATACGTAATATAGGAATGTATCCCGCGGACTACCGTGGCAAGTTCCTAGAACTTGTATGAGTTTGTGACAACTTGTGATCTTGCCACAACTGAACATAGCTTGTGATATCTTGTGATGCTTCCAACTGGGGTGGCTTCCTTTGCCAGGCCGATGGCTACTACCCCTTCAATGAAGAGATCACGGCGGACTGGATAGCTACAGAAGTGGTCAGGGGTTTGGAAATTCAACTTCTGTCGGGTTTTGCAACCTATTACTCCAAAGATCTTAACAATCTTAACAGCTTCACTACTCAGCCAAGATCAGCTTCTTGATTCTTGAGCTTCTTTACTTTCGACCTCAGGAACATACTGCAAGGGGCACACAGACTACTGTGCACTAACGACTCCATCCAAACTATATCATGACGTATACTCTATCAGATTCTGCAAATCTCACGATCTCAATATTTCTCTGATCCCTGCACAGGTATGCTTCCAGAAGAACCAAGTCCCATGCTCCCGCCCGGCCATGATAGAAATGTGGAAGCGAGTGATTGGAAGAGCATCGCATCCAAATGTGAAGATTGACGGCTATGACATTTTGTCGGATTGGGCCGCATATGTTGTACAGCTCCCATACTACACCGTGAACGTGGTGAATTCGAATCCAGTCTTCCAGCAAATGCTTCCATGACGCAACTTGAGCGAATGGGTTGGGCACTCTGCACAGCCTACACTTTTTGTTTGTGGGCGTTTTATTAACTGGCCACAATGTGGCCACTGTTTGCAAGACAAGGTTCAAGAATGGATGGCTAGCAGACTGGGCTGACTACAACAGCTCCTTAGCTTGAAGACGTTGAGATATCACACACTATCAAACAATATCCAACCACCTAATACTACATTTATCAATACAAAACAAATCAATACCTTAAAATTTATCATGATCTAGTTTGAACATGTTTGAACTTAGTCATACTATCAATACATATCTAGCCATATGCCCGGTTTGGGATGTGGGAACTTGATGGAACTTGTCGAGTGGATCCAACGAGGTCATGGTGAGACCGGAACCATATTCTGCGCGAGCGTAGTGTGGCCCGTCATATTCTAACACACTAAGCGTAGAGCTTGTCGAATCTTATCGACCACATCAAGAGACTAATGTGAGTATCAGTGACTATCAGCTAGGCATAGCTAGGCTAGGTATTTATTCATATTTATTCATCCTACATTATCCTTATGGATAATGATATGAGTTTTGATTAGTTAATTAACATATTTGTTTTCTATCGTCTTCCTCATCGCCGAGGCAGTGTTTTCTACGGTGGATCGAATCGGTATGGGATGGGGGCAGGCCCAGACATGACTTGGTGTTCTGGCGCGACATACTTTGCGGACAAGCGTCCTGGTCATAGAAACCAATAGAACACTTTCATGCGCTTTCCACATGTTTCCACACGCCCTCGTTGACTGACATTCATAATTTTCCGGGCATGGTGCTGACTTTGTGTGTCTTTCATGGTGACTATTTGAAATTTGCTGAAAAGTTGTTGCAACGAATAAAATGAGCAATCGCATGTACCAGATTTGAAAATTAAGTCATATAGCAATGTAAAACACGAAAACCACTGAAATATTTTTTTCCTTGGGATCCATCGTTGGAAGCACTCATTTTGGAAGACCACAAAATCTGTAAATAGTAAACGATGTAATTGAATTGGGGGTAAGCAAGTTGTCTCTCTCCTGATGCACACCGATTTACAGGTACACAATGGATCCCAAGAAGGCAAAGTGCCGCACTTGGAGCCCATATTCCGTTGCTGGCTGGCTTCCTGCCGCGCCCGACACAATTCAGGTCAGGGTGTTTCACTTGCACTATTCCCATCTATTTCCCGGTGGTGGCACAGCAAACCCACACTGGTGTCGTTTTGAACTGGTGCAACCCAATCCACAATCCACGATCCCAAAAGCTTGGAATTTGTGCTTCAATCATCAATCCCTGAGATTTTGTTCTACTCAAGCACCCCAAAAATAATTTGTTGCTTGCCGTGATTTTATTCTGTTTCATGAGCCTGGGAATGTGAGATCTGCATAGATCTGCTAGCGTCAGGGGCATTTGCTTGAGATGCTTTGGACTGGGGAGTCTGTCCTAAACTACCCTGGAACGGACTACCACATTCTTTGGCGGAAGGCCGAGCCTTCCGAGGGCCGCCTGTTCTGCTGGGAATGGGTTAACGACAGGCTTTAGATTCTTCGATCTGCTATGATTTGCTTTGGTGTGATGAGAGTGCGGAAGGAGGATAGTCAAGATATGTAAAGACGATAGGGATGATAGGGAGACGATTGTAAGAGGATTGTGTGTATCGCTGGAAAGCTTTGGTAGAGACTCCATTGGGTTTTAACATGTTTCAAGTGTCCCTGAGAGGGGAGAAGGCCCATGGCTGGAACATCATGCTAGAACTTTGGTTCATAGTGTTTCATCATATTTCATCATGGTTCTACTGAGAACATGTTATCCCTTGCAATCCTGAACCAAAAAGCTTTATAATGTTGGAGCTTTCACTTCCCTTGCTGGCAACACATTTTAAACATGCTTGAACCTCTGAACAATTCTGGGAGACTGAGATGGATTTTGGTATTACATGGTGCTGCATGGTACTGTAATGGAACCTCAGTTGATCCTTCAGGGAGGTTCCTATCCGTTCCTATCCTTCCCGTTCGAACATTTTCCAACTGACTCATGACCATGACCTCGGGAATGCCGTGGCAGTCACTGATTGATCCGGCCATGAATTGGAGCTCCTACGTAACCACCATTGACATTGCTGGGGAGCTCTTCGGCCTCAGCACGTTATTTCTAGGTGTCGATTTCTACCGTGACTCGGCAGGGGATTTTTGCTGTCCTGTGTACAACTGTGTACCATGCTCGCAGGAGCTTGGTCTTTTTTTGCTTACCTAATACTGTAACTTCGGACTGACACTGGGAGTTTCTGAAGCTCATTCAATCCCGATTTCAAACAGCTTCAAACATATTTGTAGCATTTTGTATCATTTGTAACCGTTTTTTGGTGAACCAAAGACGAAAATTCTGCTGTTTGCGATGTTTTGAAGGGGCCGGTTGTGAGCTGGGATTCAGTGGCGCTTCATGCTGCAATCCTGGGTCACTGCCCCACTCAGTTCTCTATAGACAATATTTCCTATGAACAATTGTTGTTCATCAAAAGCCTGTACCAGAATCCAACCTTCAAAGTGATGCAAGGGATTCACGAAAGCGAATGGCAAAAACAGAGGACAGGAATAAGACAAGGATGTCCATTAAGTCCCTACCTTTTTATTTTAACTATGCATGTTATGTTTCATGATGTGAAGGAACAGTTCAACGACCCTCGACACCAAAAACTTTTCAAAATATCAACTTCCAAGAACTGCTGTATGCAGACGACACTCTAATCATAGCCAAAAGTGCTAAGACTGCCAACGCATATTTGCATCTGATCGAACAAGAATCAGAGTATCTGCATCTAATGCTGAATCATGATAAATGCAATTATATAACTTTCAATACCAACATCGGCAGAATCAAATTTCGAAATGGAACCATGAGGAAGTCAACGACGGACGCCAAATATTTAGGCGCTGTTATTAATGATAAAGCTGATCCCGCACAGGAAATAAGACGACGAATCTCGAGCACCATGCCAATTTTGAAACGCCTTGATATTTTTTGGAACAAAACGAACTGCAGCGAAAGTTGGAAATTACTAGTTTACAACTCCGTTATCATTAGTAGACTACTTTACGGCTTAGAGTCACTTCAAACTACAGACAATACAGGGAAACTGCTGAATACTTTTCAGCTTAAAGGCTTGAGAAAAATATTGCACCTGCACACCACTTACGTCGATAGAAACAATTCTAATGAATTCGTTTACCATCGAGCAAATGAAGTAGTTGGTGCTCCTTCTCAGGGGCCTCTCCGCAAAATCAGACCTTTGGCTGAAATTTTGGAAACGAAGCGTCTCAAACTACTTGGGCATGTGCTGAGAAGACCGCGGTCACACCCTCAGCATCAAGTCACTTTTGCTTCCTATTTAGCTTTACCAAAAACCACATCCAATCGAAGAGTCGGCAGATCCAGAAAAATTTGGACTATTGAAAACATGAAACTGGCTTGGAACATACTGAAGGCTAATGGCTAATGATGATGGACTACCAAACCTCAACTTTGATCATCGAACCCTAGTCATTCGCGAAGCGCTCATCGATGCAGCAAGGGCTTATAAACCCCCTTTCAACTGATCACAGATTTTGGTGTGATCAAACTCGTTTTGAACGATACTCTGTGTGAACGAACTCTATGTGAAGCGTCTGTGCGTGATGCGCCAGGCACGGAATCCAATAGTCTAGTTACTTGCCAATTACTCCTCTGCAGAACGATGCATGTACATAAATTCCTGTTTACTAGTACAGAGTTTTGTACAGTTACAGATTGCTGTCTTCAAATTTCACCTTTGCGTAGACTGATTCTCTTTTCGCCTGATTTTGCCCCTCCATAATCATTCGAACAGCAGGGTAGGGTCAACGGCCGTAAGTCGCGAACTAAATCGGCTTTGGCAAAAAAAAACATGTTGTTCATGTGTTGGCTTCACTTTATAGTTTACACTTAGATACACTTAGATACAATTTTGAACTATGATGTATTATCAAATGTAATTAGTCTGTCCCAGGATGTATCACATGATATGGCTTTCATCCAAGGAGAACATAGCAATCACTTCACCAAAAAGAAAGGCTTCATGCCGATCACAGAGCCTGGTGACAATACCTCTGCTTCTTTGTACATGACTGGGGCTTCCCGTCACCTGAGCTCGAAGTCCGTTTGAAGTGATGGAAAAAAATCACATGATTTCGTGAAGTTGCATTTGCATACAATATGCATTTGTATGCCATATGTATATACATGTACATATACATTGTATTACCTTTTGTTGGGCTTGTGATCTACCAACAGTGCAGGCCTAGGCCCGCTGAAACTCAACGTCAAATTGTGGTGCTCGGTCAAAAAGACTAAAGCAAGAAAGCAATCAGTTCCAGATTTCAGAGCTCCAGAGCTACGTTGTTTCTTGTTGACTGCCATTAGTTGCCATTCAGCACTGCTGAGCGCCGGGTGAATTGAAAAGCTGAGATACAACCAGACATCGGTAGCATGATTGTGAATCACAATTAGCATTCTTGATATGCCATCGCCATTCGTTGCAGTTGTTGCAACTGCTTGCTAAATTAATTGGAGACAGTGCCTTTGCGAACATCAGGGTGTGCAAGGACTAGGAAGACTTCAGGAAGACGAAAGGGTTTACATGCAATGCATTGTACAATTCCCACCGCTTTGAAGCTGTAGAGTCCGAGAATGATACCTCCGTAATTCTGCAAATACAATCGTATACATGAATCATGTATCATCATGTCATATCACCTCTTAGAAAGGCACTTGTACAGACTTTGCGGCCCAATTTTCAACCCTTCTCATCAGCTACATATGCGCCCCCTTCTCTCTGCAATGTCTGTGGCCAGGCCTTCTTTGCAGCGGGAAATTGCAGTGCGGCAGTGCGGGGTTGCATGGGGTTGCAGTGTTGGATTTCGAGAAAAGTTGCGCTATTTTCTTTCCTGAAAGGCATACTTTGGCAAACGCGCAGAAAAGATCAGGCTTCAAAGCACTCCATCCATGCCATGTTTCCATGCTTTTGCAATGAATGATCAGACAGCTTTCATCTTATTACATGTTTTTCCGATCTTTGAGTCAGCCGTTTGGCAAGTGCATGTAGTGTCATGTTGCACGATCAGGCCGATGACAATGGCCCCCATGACAACGGCCATCATACCACTTAGCTTTGCGTGCCCAACATGCTTTAAGTGCTTTTAGGCCTTCCCAGACCAGCCTTGAATCAGGATCATTCCCAACATGATCGTGTGCTCTTCAGAGATTTTCAGAGCCGCAAGACCCAAGCGGCGCTTGATATTACAGCAGTCGGCGAGTGGTGCAAGAAAAATCATTCCGAAGCCACTGCAGCGGCACAAGGGCTTTGCCCAGTTTAGACAGCGCAGCTTGCGCTTGCCGTTTGCAACCTTGCTGCGGCTGTACTGGAAAGCACTATGACTGGTCGTTGGGGCCTCATGCAGCACGATTGCTTGAAACCTCATGGTCAAGGTGTGGCCTGCCTTTCTTGGCATTTTGGTATGTAGATGTATGTAGGTAGTTGCATGCAATTATTGCTTTTGGCGTATATGATGATGTTGCGGTGACCCTTCGCCAAGGTACACATACCATTAACAAGCCTATGTATGTTCTGTATGAGTGCATCTTTGTTCTCATTCATAATAGTACGTCGTTTGATTCTTGCTTTCAATTTTGCGAGTAGCTGGCACTTTAAATACTTGACACTCTCTAGCAATACTGTTTCACAGCCTGTCAGCCCCTACCACCTCTCATTTGTCACGAGATGACTTGTCAAACTCTCAAACTTGTCTTCGATTTGTTGCGAGGGCCCGCATGATCCATTCCGCTGGCCTCGGGGTTTTGTTAGTTTTCTTGTTTTCTCATGTTTTGTCATGTTTTCTCGCTTCTCGAGGCAGAAGTTGTTGCTTTCACCATTGCGTTTTTGAGGCACCCTTTGGCCCAAGTTCGTGCTGGGGCTGTTGGCCGTGCGCTTCATATGTGCTGAGTGCCCCTTGGCCGCATGTTGAATCACTCCAACGACTCAGAGGCGGTTCATGGCGGTTCAACTATGTTAGGTTATTAATGTTGATTTCGTTTAAGATTTATGACTATAAAATACTATAGATATCTATAGATAATAGATGATAATAGATATTAGTGTGGTTAACTTGTAAACTTGAGGTCAGGCGTACTTGGTCCCACCCCGCCGCATGTCCTTATTCCGTTCGACACGCTGGTGCCCGCACACTACGGAACAGCAGTAATAATGGCTGCAAGAAGGACCTGCGATGCTGCTTACAATGCTGGCAAATTAATTGGATAGACGATCTGGGCTTTACCTGCAAGGCCGTTTTTCTTTATTGCCTTTTACTGATAGCTATTCTATAAATAACTTTACCCCCAGGCCAGGTGTGCCGTCCTGGGGGTATATCGATAACATATGACTATGACATATATATATATATGACAAGGGTATTAAGGAATATTAAACTCCCACCCCCGTTAAACTTTACATTCAATTGGGAAGATCAACCAGGGTTTTAGGGAATATTAAACTCCCATCCCCGTGAAACTTTACATTCAACTGGGAAGATCAACAAAGGTATTAGGGAATATTAAACTCCCACCCCCGTTAAACTTTACATTCAACTGGGAAGATCAACAAAGGTATTAGGGAATATTAAACTCCCACCCCCGTTAAACTTTACATTCAATTGGGAAGATCAACAAGGGTATTAGGGAATATTACAGTCCCACCCCCGTTAAACTGTACATTCAATTGGGAAGATCAACAAAGGTATTCGGGAATATTAAACTCCCACCCCCGTTAAACTTTACATTCAATTGGCAAGATCAACCAGGGTTTTAGGGAATATTAAACTCCCACCCCCGTGAAACTTTACATTCAATTGGGAAGATCAACCAGGGTATTAGGGAATATTAAACTCCCACCCCCGTTAAACTTTACATTCAACTGGGAAGATCAACAAAGGTATTAGGGAATATTAAACTCCCACCCCCGTGAAACTTTACATTCAATTGGGAAGATCAACCAGGGTATTAGGGAATATTAAACTCCCACCGGCCCCCGTTAAACTTTACATTCAACTGGGAAGATCAACCAGGGTATTAGGGAATATTAAACTCCCACCCCCGTTAAACTTTACATTCAATTGGGAAAATCAACCAGGGTATTAGGGAATATTACAGTCCCACCCCCGTTAAACCTTACATTCAATTGGGAAGATCAACCAGGGTATTAGGGAATATTAAACTCCCACCGGCCCCCGTTAAACTTTACATTCAACTGGGAAGATCAACAAGGGTATTAGGGAATATTAAACTCCCACTCCCGTTAAACTTTACATTCAATTGGGAAGATCAACAAGGGTATTAGGGAATATTACAGTCCCACCCCCGTTAAACCTTACATTCAATTGGGAAGATCAACCAGGGTTTTAGGGAATATTACACTCCCACCCCCGTGAAACTTTACATTCAATTGGGAAGATCAACCAGGGTATTAGGGAATATTAAACTCCCACCCCTGTGAAACTCTACTAGTACATTCAATTGGGAAGATCAACAAAGGTATTAGGGAATATTAAACTCCCACCCCCGTTAAATTTTACATTCAATTGGGAAGATCAACAAGGGTATTAGGGAATATTAAACTCCCACCCCCGTTAAACTTTACATTCAATTGGGAAGATCAACCAGGGTTTTAGGGAATATTAAACTCCCACCCCCGTTAAATTTTACATTCAATTGGGAAGATCAACCAGGGTATTAGGGAATATTAAACTCCCACCCCCGTTAAACTTTACATTCAATTGGGAGGATCAACAAAGGTATTAGGGAATATTAAACTCCCACTCCCCGTTAAACTTTACATTCAATTGGGAAGATCAACAAAGGTATTAGGGAATATTAAACTCCCACCCCCGTTAAACTCTACTATTAGGGAATATTAAACTCCCACCCCCGTGAAACTTTACATTCAATTGGGAAGATCAACAGGGGTATTATAGGGAACATTAAACTCCCACCCCCGTTAAACTTTACATTCAATTGGGAAGATCTACAAGGGTATTGATGTTGATAATGTTGATGATGTTGATGTTGTTGTTGTTGATGATGATGATGATGATGTTGATGAAATGAGGAAAAAAATCGTCATCCATTTGCCCAAACGAACGACACGGGGAATCTCACAAAACATTGGCCCTGCGCAGTCAAAACGCACTTTCCCGGGCAGCACATCCGTCCTGGCCGTAACTTTATGACTCATAAGCCTGGTGAGTGATGAAACGAGTGCAGCTGGTTGCTGCAGTTTGTCGCAACCCGGCACCAGGCTCTTCAACATTCCTCAACACATTTAACGGAAATCAGGCTCAGTTATGCTCAGGTAGCTTTTCGTTTAACCGCGATTCGAGAGACATAGCAGAAATCTCAACACAGACGATGGTGCATAGACGGTTGGCTGGTTGTCTAGATATGAGATACCCGAGTTGTACCAAATACACATATACATGATATAAACAATGATGAAGAACATGAAGAACATGCATGAACTCCAAAGCGATTCCTAGATTCTGACAACGGAGGTGGAACCCAGAACCCTTCCGTCTATGTGCACCACAATCAAACCTGTACAGCACCATCCCACTCGCCTAATCTAATCATCTAGTCAAATCCAATCAGGTTTGCCCACTTGCCTAATCCATCTACCTATCCCCGCCTCTGCAATATCTCGCTCTATAGAATGTACACACACACACACACGCACGCATGCACGCACGCACGCACGCGCGCATTGTATGATGTATGTACAAACACACACACACACACGCATATATATATAGACACACGTACGTATTATATATTTACATATGTGCGCGTGTGTGTGTGTGTGTTTCAAATTTGGAATTATTTAATTAAAATAATGAAACTCTTATTTTTTTAAATAAATCTAAATCCCAGAACTTTGTGTTTGATACTCAGGCAAGGTGCAGTCAGGGACATTGACCTTTGGAGGGCCACGTGGCAACGAGGAAAGCCAATGGAAATTTATTAGCAACTTTGGCAGCCTTCAGCCATGTTTTTCCCAAGATTCCGTTGAGCTTACGGCTTACGTTTGTATTTGCGTGCGTTTGCCATTCAATGGCTTTGGACGTTTCTGAGGTAAATTTGGATATGCCGCGGCCTTGGGATAGTTGATGTCCAAATGCAAGAGGTTGTGCGGGACTTGGATCCCAAGTTCTTATGTGGGCAAAAACACCTTCATTACCTTATTTCGAGTGATCCCCACCCTGACATATTATTCTGACATTGTTTCTGACATTCTTTCTGGCATTCTATCTGGCATCTATTCTGACATTCTGTCTAACATTCGATCTGGCATTCTATCTGACTATCTGAAATTTATTCTGACATTCTGTCTAGCATTATCGCATTCTATCTGGCATATGTTCTGACATTCTGTCTGACATTCTTTCTGGCATTCTACCTGACATATGTATACATATGTTCTTATATATTCTTATATAATATATATATATAGCATTATATAGCATTCGATCTGACATTCTCTCTGACATGTGTTCGGGCCCAGACGTGCCCCGCAGCATCGGGAGCTGGCGACATGGCGTTCGGGTCTTGCAGAGGAGGAGGCGAGGAGGAGAAGGAAAAGGAAGAGTTGCACCTTTGCTAAAATCAAGAGACCCTCACCTGGCAGGTGGGGAAAAATGAAGCGGCTGGCCTTGTTTCCATATTTGACCGAACAAGGAAGCTCGGAACAAGATGTTTCATATTTAGTCAACGAGCGATCGAGGTGTTGCCATTAAATATAGCGTTGCCGATGTAGACGCTATTTACAGTTTCGAGTAAACTGACGACATTTGCATTCAAACCATCGGAGAGTGCATTCATTTTGCCAAATGCTGCTCCACACGAGTACCGTGCATGGAGCAGTGATTGGGTCACATTTTTGCATGTTTTTGCGCTACGGACTTAGTACTTAATTACTGAATTACTGTAGATTTTTGGTGCCCCTGTTGTATTCCACAATGTGCTGTAGTAATCTGTAGTATATAATTACATATTTTGACTTCCTGAAGAGGCCGCCCGCCGTCTTATCCTTTGGGGTATTTTCGTGCCAAAGGGCACTTTGATTCAAACACATCCAAACAATTTCGTCTGTATCAAAATGTATAAGACAAAATCGCAAAAGGAGAGAAGGAGGGAAGGAAGAAGGACAGTAGCTTAGACGAACTTATTATAACACGCATTCGTGGGGCCGGCAGTGCGCATTCCAGAACTGCGAAACTGCGAAACCATCGAAACTTGCACTTTGTGATGTGAAAGCATCCTGCTTGCCGCAATATGTGTATAAAAACAAGTAAAAACATGTGTAAAATTGTGGGTTGCTTCAGATTGTTTGATTTGCTGTCGGTATTTTGCGGACTTTGTCGGCTTCAGGCAATTGGCACTGGACGGTATGAAATCAGGCTGAGGTTTGGCACCAAGTGACACCAAGTACTTGCCAGGACGGCAGAGTGACCAATGAGATCGGGTACTGTGCATTGCTTTGCTGCAGATTGTTTGAGTCTATCTTGAGTCTACTTCAATATTCTTAACGTATATTAACGTATTGCTTATTATTATTAAACATTATTAATTATTATTTATTATTATTAATCATTATTAATTATTATTTATCATTATTATTGATTATTGTTTTTACACGTTTTTACCTTATTATTTTGTATTCTTGTTATTGCTTGATTTAATATATATATATCATAATATCATATCGTTGTCACATGTTGTCAAACTTTGACGGATTTGGGCATTGCTCACTTGCTCTCAGGCTTGGTGATGCCCTGGAGCAAGATCAGGCCAGGGAGTGTGTTGGACCTGTTCGACATGTCTGGTCCAAGGAGACACAGAGTCAGACCAATCATTCAGTTCTATTTTGCTGATTGGAACCTTTTAGTTTCGTTTGGCTTCAATGGGATGCATACCCCATGAATTTCCATGACATTCCACGACTGCTGCCTGAGAAATGTACCAACCAGTGAGCCTCGTGAGACCAATGCGGAAGATTGTGGGAGCATTGCGGGAGCGGGAAAGCCAGGTCTTGCCACGGCCAACTCTTGAGATATTTCTCGATGAAGACTGGCCGCAGCATGCACACATTCCTGCTTGCCGTCGCGCTCAGGTCTGACATGCTGAAACATGCTGCAACATGCTGAATCATGCTGAGGGGCAAGCCTTTAATCATGGAGACACTGACTATAAAAGTGGGTAACAGCAGGCATGTTCGCAGAATTCATAGGCAACTGTTATTCGTGCTCAAGGATATTGGAGGGTTCCATGGCAAAGTTTGCCCCTGGTGGGGTTTGTCCAGGACATTCCGGCGAGAAAGACTCATGGAACCCTTGCGCCAGGACAGCCACTTGCATGCGATGTTTTTCCGCCTTGGCAGGACAAGACATGACAAGACAAACGCAGTGGTAATCAGTTCAAGTGAGCCTCTGCAGTGGCTGCCCTTCTGCATATCGGCATGTAGGCATGTACTGTAGGTATGCATACTTGGATGCCCAGAAAGCACAAAACAACTTAAAGGCATGCGGCATGCCCCTGACAATTCCTCCTACAGTACTCCTCTGACAGCAGGGTATTATACCTTGACAGCGCTGTTACTGTTGCTGAGGTTAGGCTTGTGGGGCCCTTGGGAGGTTGGCATGCTGCCCCTTGCCTTAAGGTAGCAGCCGGATTATTCTTTTCCACAGATTCTAGCTAACCAAGAGCTGGACTGACGATTGTCGAAGGCACAGCAGCAAGATTGGACATATTACGCATATTGGACCAGCTGAGTGGTTGCCCAAGACTAGGGCATCTAGGGCGTCAAAACAAGAAGCATGCAAGAAGCGTTGCTCCATGAGCTCGACACCACAGGTATCAGACAGTGCGCTCCCACATTTGGTACTTTGCTGCTTTGGCAGCAACATTCGCAGCAGCAAGATGCCGCAAGACAATCCGTGACAATCCCCAAAGCCATCAAGCTCACTCCATGTATTGGATTGCATTGGAGCATATTGGATTGACCTTTGAAACTTTGGTAGCTGTCCGAAGCAGCAACGAGCGATGCTGTTGCATGTTTTTGCGCATTTGAGGCTTTGTCCGATTGCCCTGATGAGTTTGCCCGGCGAATGTCTGGGAGCAGAAATTTCAGTTCCTCACTTCGATCTGCGAGTTTGATACATTTTGATACCAGGGCCAGGAGCAACATTGAGAGTTCTGCAGATGGCCAACCCTTTGAGGGAGCAGGTCGCAGGATGTCACGGATTCTCTTTGGTTTGTCCATTTGTTGTTACCATGTGATTACCTAATTGTTGCTCTTTGTTCATGCAATAGATTCGGCACCCAAAGGATGTATGTCGTTACCATGAATGCACCTCCATTCCACATTGCCAACCCCAGGTTATACCATTGATTACGAGATCCGTTGGAGGTGTTGTTCCATTGCGTCAGGATGTTTCTCCAGTGTGTGCTTTACATTTTGAAATGGCTTTGCGTTGTCCATGTTTGTCGTTTATTTATGGGTGTTTATGACTATGGTTGTCAATTGAAACGGCTGCAACGGCGTTTTGGCCCGTTTTGGCTTTGCAGAGGCAGTTCGATGAGTCCGAGTTGAGTTTGGAGATGAGGCATGATGTCATAGTCGCATCGGTGTGGTAACACCGTATGACACTGTACGGCCGAACGGTATCAAAATGTTTATCAAAGAAATATAAAAGGGTATCAAAGGGTTGAATAATAAGTCATACAAACATAGTTAAACAAATTAACCATTGTACACGGACACGCTCAATCTGCCCTGTTTGCACTTGTTTGCATCGATCGGCTTTGGGCTCTCCAACTGGGTGAGGTACATGCCTGTTGCAACCGTCCTTGTATTGGTGATTCTGACGGCGATGGCTTGCTGGTTTGTAGCCAAGAGCCAATCTATGCGACATAGCACAGGCGCCCAACCCACACTACGCACGTGCCTCCTTGGACTTTCTGCTTTCCTTGTATGATTCTGCAGCATTCCTTCATTCTCAGCAATTTCACACGGCTTGGTAGCTTCATAGCCGTGATCTTGCGCACTGATTTTGGCAGGAAAACTTCATCCAGTAGTTCGCAGCCTCCTCTTTGCCATGGGATTGCAGTGGGCTTCACAGGACAATGTCCCAGATTGCGGGCCGACGTGATTGCAGACATGTTAAGTATACAAGCCTTGAGCTTGGCACGGATTGGGCATGCATGACGCAGCATGAAACTACCATGAGAGAACCGCAAGATCCCAAATGCCCAAATGATCCCAAATGATTCCAAATGAACCTATAATTATCAATTATTTGTTAAGTGTTGGTGGTGTGATGGACCCAGAGAGATAGAACAAGCAACCGAAGCCTGCATCATGAATCATCTCGACCTGCCTCCATCTCGATCATGTAGTTGTCAGGCTGTTGAAATATATTGTACATCATCGTATTGTACATCTAGTTCATTCCAATTCAAAACTCTTGAATCCATTGCCACCCGCCATCCTGAAAGTCTGTTTATGGAAGGCACTCCCATGAGCTGGCAAACTTAACTAGAAGAGAGAAATCTACAAAATGCACACACACACATGCACACACATTACTTGTGCGTGACATGTTGAGTTTCCACACAGCAAAGTTCCTTTAAGGAGCAAACTGCTGCGAGCCTCCAGAACGAGATTTGTGTTGAACGTCCCGGAAAATGCAAACGGCAAGCAAGAATTTCACTTCGGCCTGTCTCATTCCAACACTTCAAAACGGACCAAGAGCAAAAAAATCGAAAGTTGACAAACACGTATACGAAATCTATACGAAATCTGTCAATGCACTACAAGGAACGAAACAAATCGAAACCAAAAGCCGCAACTGATTCGAGGAGGCGAGAGAGAGAGAGGGAGAGAGTAGAGGATTCGCTCGGATGAACGAGATAAGAAGATAGAAACACAGACGGGGCTAATAGCCATGACTGTGATCAACTCTAATGACTCATTATTCTTTGCAGGCAACCAGTGTCTTCTGCATGTGTAGAGGCGAAGGAAACCTAAGGAAGGTACAGCTGAGTAACATTTTATCCGCTTCAGCAGTCTAGGCGCTACATTTGATCCACCTGTGGGCCTACGAAAGAAACGGTGCCGCCCACAGTTTTGTTTTGTGCATCAACTTCAGCGGATTGCTGTCGCAGACTTTGGCGTGCTTAGATTCTGTCACTGTTTCAAGATTTATCTCCATTCTTAAATGTGCTGAAAGAATGTGAAAATATGAAAAACACGTATAAAAACATATGAAATTCGTAGGGCCAGTGCAGTGAATGCAGGTGTATTTCTTCCTTGCCTGCCGGTTCTGAACAAGCTCCCACTCCCAACTAAGGCCGAGGCCTCCCAATCGCAGATGGCTTTGCTGAAGTGCTCTTTATGCTCAGCCAGGCTTCGAAGTGGGGACATGCCCGAGCTGCTTTAGCTCCAAGGATAAACTTGAATGCATACTGTACATGTTCTATCTCTCTTCATCTCTATCGCTCCTACTTTCCAACTGCATGAGCATTCTGCATGAACATAAATGTAGGATAATGTAGGTATAATTTATGAGAAGGTATACATACTATATATATATACACATATATATATAGTATATACAAGATAGAGATAGAATGTATGAGGGAGAGAGCGCGGATGTATACACAAAATAGTAAAATAATATAACATGATATTATAATATATTAAAAACCTGTGATGATACATAAACGTACCATCTATGATATACTTTCCTGTAGTGCAAGCTTTCCTGCCCCGGCGGACGGTATTGGGACGATCCTTTTTTCTGTCGTTGGAGAATGGGTTTCTGTGCTGCTCGACAATGAAAGGCAAAAATTGACAGGCAGTTTTCCGGGTCTCGTTTTGTTCGCACAAGATACCACAAGACTGGCAAGACTGGGCACATCTTGGCACTTCTGGGTTGTATGTTTGGATGTTTTGGATATGCACATCTGGGCCAATCTGGGATCATTTGCAGGTTGGAGCTGCCTCGCTACTTATTGCCATAGCACAAGGCTACAGCTTACTCAGGTCCAATCTCAGTGAGGCAGGTGCCAAAGCTGTCCAAAGCTTTACTTAGGCAGTTGATGGCAGAGATGGCAGTTGTATCCGATATGTATCTCAGTCGTGTATCCGAGAGCGAAAATCAGATACTGTAAATCGTGAGATATCGTGATATATCACAGTACTAGTATTAGATAGGTATCTGGAGCTCTTCTTATAGCTCAAGGAGGAACAGATTGTAAGCGGGTTGCAGCTTGGAATGGAGAAGCATGGAGAAGCAACTGGCCGAAGGTAGAGCTTCTGGTGCCAGTTGTCGCAGTCGTCTCTGTTCTCCACGTTGCCCTCGTAGCCTGCGGGAAGCTACAGACTGAGGCCTCGAGCTATGTTGATAGATCTTGTATGAAAGTTGATATGTATAATTTTTCGTCATTTGTAATCATGTACAATCATTATCAATCATTGATATATAATATTATATAATGATATATACTGTATACATAAACCATTTGGGATCATTTGGGTACACTCAAGTCAAACTACATAAGCGCATACACATCCCCATACATTTTACATCAGCTTACATCATCATACATCATCTTATTGTAGTTTCGGCTTGCACAAGGAAGATGAATTGAATGTTCCATCTCCCCCCCACCACAGCTTGGGCAGCAAGACCCGATGTACACTACCTCGCACTCCACCCATAATCTCCCTATGGAATTCAATGAACATAATTTTGCGAAGACATTGAGATACCAGGAACAGTATTGACTATAATTACTCAGGTTATTCTTTGATTGCTCGCCTGACTCCTCTTGTTGATTATGCGGCATTTCTGAAAACTGGCATGCAACATCATGCAACAATGCAACAGTGACTTTCGGTATCTCTGCTGAGATCTCTCGACTTTGGTTTCTGTTTGGCCGGAGGACTTCAAGTATCACGAAAATGAAGGTCTCATTGGCTGGATTCTGCTGTCAGTTCGGCTTAGCCTCTTTGCTTGGTTTCGCTCCGGCAGCCTGGCTGCAAACATTGAAATTATATCTGAATAGTGCGGCCAAACCTGGCAGACCAGGTGGGTGGATAGATGTGGATAGAATATGAATAGAAACCCAGATGATACCAGATGATACCAGATGCAGTATTTGGATGTATTTGGGAGATTTCAATAGATTTCATGTGTTGGATGTGTTTGTACCGCGTTGATTCTTTGCTCAGGAATCCAAATGCTCCGATCCTCAGGCAGGGCCCGAGTATGTTGGGCACTTTATGGTGCTTCAATTGTACGTGCAATCATTACAATGCCAATTCTTTCTATGTGATATATATAATTATATATATATATATTAAATAAATCAGTATATGACAATATGACATTGAAATAAGTCATAAATAAAATATTTAAATACTGTAAATAAAATAAATACATATAATTAATATTAATAAATACTAATTATATTTATTATTATTACTATAATAATTATAATGATTATTATAGGTGTATATATTTATTTATGCACCGAGAATTGGTCATAGGGAAGGTCGAGGAGTGTGCTGTGCAGGTGGTTTGAAGCTGCAGAGCTTCCTTGGGATGTTTGAGATCGTCGGATCAGCATACTTCCTTGCCTTCCCCACGATCTTTGTTCTGGTGCAGGCACCTCATGGCACATCATGGCAGGGCGGTTATATAACTATATTAACTATGGTAGCATGAGTCAGTTTGTTTTGATGCACCTGCAATCTCTTGAAATCATATCCATGTACAATGAAAGCCATCTTCTACACCGTCTTTTGGCTACTGCACAATGTTTCGATTTTTTTCAAACGTTTTGGTACAGTTGGTTGATGTTGGTTGTGTCAGGTCTTGGCGCCATACCTCCAGCATCCAGTGTTGCAAACAGCCCTGCTGGTCTGGGTGCCACAGGATTTGTTCCATCCAGAACTTATACGGAGAGATACGGAGAGTAGTTCAAGATGAAGATCAAGAATGATTGAGATCTGTTGGATTGGGGCCACAAGCTGTCAGATTTGCTGACTCCAAAGTTGCTTACAATGTTTTACAAGAGAGCATATAGAGCGTGGAGATATATAAGTTGAGGCCATTCAAACAGCTTCATGGCTGTGGCTGGCAGACCTCTTCCTGTCGAAGAGAGGCAGCTACTTCCAGGCACACGTTTTTTCATTTGCCTCCAAGTGGTGGTGCTGTTTAAGGTCGAGCACACATAATTGAAAGCCAGCGTTGTCAATAGAAGTCTTGAAACGTGTTTTAAGATGTTTTAAGAGCTTGGGACAGCATTGGGCAATGAAACCTTTTGTGAGTGAAAATGTGAAAAGGTGAGGTTTGGGTGAAATGCGTTTTTTTTTCCCGTTTCCAAATGGGAATTTGGAGATTTCTTGGCCAGATCTCGGAATTGAGTGCCTCGATGCTGCCTGGGGAATCTTGGCTTTGGGGTTTGTGAAGACTTGCATTGGCATGGTCAGAAACAGTTGATCGGTAAATTGGTAAAGGTTGATTGTTCCAATGATTGTTCCAATCGTTACATCGTTCAACAGTCATTGTTTACCCATGATTCGAAGCATGAAGAGCTTTCCATTTAGACATCTCCAAACATATGACATCCAGTGAGTGTTTGTCCTGACATGTCCTTACTCATTTATCAATTCAGCTTTGGTACTCTACCTGAGCCACAGGTTGGGTGGAATTGCTACAATCACAAGAAAGTGATGTTTCTTGGTCTATCAGCTTAGCTTCATTGGTTTCTGTTCATGTGCCATGGTTGCAAGCTTGGGCCCAAATCCGCGCAACAAACAAAAACACGACCACGACCCATATATTGATCCTATGGCAGCTGCGTTTTGAGGACGCTTTAGTCTTTGATGGAATTTATGTTTGAAAACATCGAACGGATCCAGAAGCGCGCAAGTTTCGGACAAGCTTCGTGCAATTGTTGAGCTGCGTTCGCTGATACTGATGATACTGCAAATATAAACGAATAGGGATGACCCACCAAAACCTGCTCCACGATGCACGCGCACACATGTACCACATCCCAGCACCTGTTCTGCAAGCATAATATGCAACTTCATTCGAAAGCAGTGACCACGTGCAAGTGCAAGCTCCCATTGTGGTTGCGCATGTTGCAAGGGTTTTGTGCAAGCAGGAGCAATTCCCATTTTGTCTTGAAGGAGGTTTCGAACACGCGCTGGCAGATCTTGTGGCCAGTTGGCCCGTTGATCCCTCCACTGCATCAATGCCATAACATCGATTCGATTCCAGTTAAATTGTTGACCAAGCTAAAGAATGAGGCAAAGAATGGAAAAGACCCAAAGGATTCCAAAGGCAGAAAACGTCAAACCATATTTGCTGAGTATGCGGTTGCATGCAGCCTAGGTGACCCGTGAGACAAATTGACACAAATAAGGGCATAGCCCATACTAATTATGACATTGCATTGCACAAACAGGTTCTTGTTGGCAAGAACGGCAACCGTGCTTCGCCAATGTTTTGCTGCTATAGCTGCTAAGCAGCCAAGCACATTCAGATGATCTCTATGTTTCACTAGGCCACTAGGCATAGGAAGCGCCGTGAGAGGCGCTTTGCACCACGGGGCACGAACAAGAACATTTCCCTTGGTATCGAGTAATTATATGTAATTATTGTGAATATGCAGATGTGACAAGTGCATTTGTTCTTTCTTGTTGGGGGGTGTATTGAACATTGGACCAGGGCTCAACACTTGAAATTGACACAATTTCACAATTGTATAATTATACTACATAGAACTGCCATGACTTGAAGAAAGACTTGCCCCAGCTTTCTTTGAATTCGTTTGATATTGCACCACGCAGCACAATTGTCGAATCGGAAGCGAGATCTTTTTGCAGGTCCTACCATGCTAGAGTCCGTTTTGTTTGGACTCCAGTTTGGACATGGAAAACAAAATACCACTGGTTGGGTGTTGCTCGATGCGCGACTTCGACAGTGCTGACTCGACTTCCAATTTTGCTCCAGCGCCTGGACAACCGGGCAGGGTACTGAACTGATTTGAACCGAATTAGTCGTGTAGGTTGGATCCATTTGGCTTCCACTAGTCCGAGGCTTGTTGTTTGCCGCGGGCATGTGGTCATGCCATGCTGGTCCATTGGCCAATGATCAACGAATCGCGAGCTTGAGTGAAGAATTGCCTCCGAGTTGCCTGCTATTTTATTGGCTTTGCACATTCTGGAAAGCAGTCTTTGCATGGCTTTGCCCAACTGAAATGAAACCCGATGTTTGGGGTTTTGCCCGCAGTTTGTGCAACCTTTCCAATGACTGTAATGAGATATAATGAGTATATGTAGCGTGCCTGCTCCAAGTTCCTGTGCATGCTGCAAGCAATAGGAGCAGAATTCAATTGCATATAGAATTGCAAGCTGCACTCGTTGATTCATTCCTCCAACTTCACCACAAAATATCACATAATATCACACAACTTCCAAGCTTTCAGAGAGCCGCTTGAAATAGTTGGAGCATTAAGTTTGACCTCCACTCTTCCAGTCGACGAAGAACTTGCAACAATGGCCCTATGCGCGCCATGCCAAGAGAGAGAGCTCCAGCCAGGTGAAGAGCAGATCATAGAGCCCCGTCTGCCCTGTCTGCCGCTGGAAGCAAACGCAAATTCATACAAATTCAATAGATCAGCATAGATCAGCATAGATCAGCATAGATCAGCATAGATCAGCACTGTCAGATCTGGCACTACAGAATCAACCATCATACAAAATCATACAGTGTTCATCGATATTATTATATTATCTTCCTGTCCAACGATTACTCAATCTTTGCCGATTTTGCAGCAATTTGGTTGAATGCTTCAAATGCTGCTGCTGCTACTGTATATATAATTATATATATATATATTATACACACTGCAAATAGATATAAACAAAATAAATAAATGTATATATAATATCATAATCCAAAAAATACATGTTAACCTCTATGTTCATATATATATATATAATATTATATACTATGTATATCTAGTCGAATGTTTCCGTATGATTCTCGTAGAATGAGTCCCCGTGGTCTCAACAGCCCTTCCGAGACAAGGATGTAGAGACGGTGGATGCGAAGCCGGTTCCTTGCCAGAACTGTTGGACTGTTGGGTGAGAGCTGCGCCTTGATCAGCGAGCATAGCGAGCGAAGTCTTCTCTGGTTCGGAGATAGAAAGCGATGAAATGAAGAAATCAAATTTAGATCAATTTATATAAGTCAAGATCAACTGAAATCAAGAGTTTCTTCTTTGGCCCGTCTTGCAGTGGATGCTGAACTCCCGGAGAGGAGGATGGAGAGAATAAAAACTGTGGAAGCTGTTTTCCCATGTTTTTCCCAATGTGCATCCTGTTTGTCTCTCTTCTTTGCATTATGCATTGCCTAGTTAGTCCGCATTTTTATTTATATAATACCTCTCCTATCATTCTTGGAGATGTGGGCTAGTGGCAACAGACCTACGATGTGCCCAGAGACCTCCAGCCAATGAGGAGAAGAAGGGCAAAAGCGCAGAAGCCACAGAAGGTTTTCAAAGTGCCGCTTGGATCCGCTTGAAAGAACCATGAAGCCGCTGGTTTCCATTGCCGTGGAATTGTTGTGCTAGCTTTGACTTGTGCCGAGGAGCTGGAGTCGGGACTTAAGGACCTTTCCAGCAAAAGCACCTAGGCTGACTTGAATGGAAGGATATTGAAAAGCAAGAGCCCTTTTTGACTTCTGGCAATTCTTAAGATGTCGCAAAATGTATTCTGAGCTGATAGATGACCGGAAACATTCGGAAAGTAGTGCATGAAACATCATGAAACTACAATACACAGGTGAGTCATGGGTCATTTCTTTTCTGTGATATGCACGCTTAGGCGAAGAACCTGCCTTTGACAAGCCTTGCGCGGCAGGAAGCGAGAAGCCACAGCCACAGGCCAAATGTTTGGGAAGTGCTTTGCTTTACTAAGAGTGATAGGTAATGACAACTACTGTAGTACAGTATGTGATGTTTAGGAGAGCAGGTCTACAGGTCTACAGGCGCTTCTGTTGGTCTTGCAAGCACAACCATCCCAACCATAGCTGGACCAAATGACTGGGTCACTTATTGATGTCACATGATATTATATATATACGTGTATACGCATGTATACGCATGTATGTAGTCTTGATTTGTTGTTGCCATGTGTACAATTCAATAGGCCCTGCTTTGCAGTTTTGCATAGTTTTGCCACGTGCTCTCCTGATTCGCAGTCTGATGGTGGAGATAGCCATGCAACAAAATTCCATATGGACTTGGAGCACTGGGTGACGGAGGTTTCCGAGGTCTTCCACTACCGGATTTTTTTCATTGATTCTTGGCAGCTTTTGGTTGCAGCTTGGGGGGAGTCCTGCAAATCTGCCGAGTAGGTAGGTCCTGAGTGATGACTTAACATGACTTGACTGGCATGAAGTATGAAATCCATTGGACAATTTACACAATGAACATCAATGAACCAAACATGATCAAAAATGAAGACAAGTGAAGCATCGCAAAATGTCCAGAGTGAAGCTAAGGAGCTTCTGGGCCAAATGATTCATACAATATTTGGTCCGCTGTCCATCCCGGTGCTGCTCCTCCTATATGGTGGAAAAGTGGGCCTTGAAAATCGTGCCTTTTGGCCCTTCAGCTCCCCGGTTCATCCAGGTTCCCGAGTCAGTGCTGGAGAGGAGTGACCATCATATACATTATACATTCATTATACATCATTAATGTTGGCAGTATGCCATATTACACATTATTACACCATATACTATGAGTGGATCATCCGGATCCGGTAAAGGAGCTTTTGTTACATTGATTGGCATCACAGCAGCAATCACAGTATCAACACCACTTCGGCCTGCGATAGAAACAAGAAGCCGCCAGAACATGACTGTCAACACATCCTGTGCAACTGAAAGAAATTCCTCGGACACCTCCAAGTCACATACACCTCCCAAAAAGATTCCGTATGCATCCGTATACCATATCATGTGAATAGTGCTGGTATGACTAGAACACCCCCGCAACATCCAGTACAACATGAATTCCCAAGAAGATCCGGACTCTTTGCATCGAGAATTGGTGGGAACACTGTCAGGACTGTCAGGAGATGACCTGGACAGAGCCGCAACACGTCCATTCTAAGAGTACTTGGTCTGGCAGGAACTGCATCTCTTTCGGCCAACATGACAGGGTGGACACCAACGCAACGACGCAACACCCATAACATCCCATAACATCCCATAACATCCCATAACCATATATCACAACATATCACAACATGACTCTGCCACCAGTAAAAAGCGACCCCCAGACCTTGTGCCGCCCAGCCCTGACACTTAGACTGTACAGGAACCGAGTGGCTGGGACGCAGAAGCATACGCGGATAAAATTAGCCCTTGGTTGGTGGACGAGAATTGACCATGAGTATACATTACTATATAAATCTATATAATGAGTTACTATACTCATAAGCTCTGTTTGGAAGTACCGCAGCTCCAGAAGATTGTTCCAAGGTTTGTCTGCGTTGCCCGGCAACATCATTTGGATCTTCCTTATGACTGGGATTGTGGCCAACTTCTTCAGTCCCGCTGGCATCATGCTCATTGAGCAAAAGTTTGCCTTCTTTTGCCTTTTCATGCGGACTCTTGCCGACAACATTGTTTAAAGCTCGTCGATGCAAACCTATTCCACTTGAAGTCAGCGTCAGTCAGCTGATCTTTGGGCACTTGAACATGCGCCACACTTTGAAACTGTATTATTTATTTCCTTTATATATGCTGGCTTGGAGCGCTATGCGGCAACAGGAACTTGCCTATCGCAACCAAGTATGCTTACACTTCCTCGCAGACCTGGGACAGCTTTAACAGAAAGCCGATTGATGCCAAATATCGCGCGTTCCTAGGCTCAATTGACTCAATTGGACTCTGCTTGGGGATTCTATCGCGCTTGCAGTGCCGTGTTTTTAAGCCTTAGATGAGATATTCTTTGCATTTTCTTTGCTCAGGTATATGAACATGCTGGTTGGTTGGTACATGATTCCGGAGGAGAACTTTGTTCTTCAAGCTGAAGTTGCATTTGTAGCTCGGTCGAAGGGGTCAAATATGTCTTGTGCTTTTGAGTTTTTTGAGCCTGCAGCTGTAAAGCTTTCTAATTATATAAACACATGCAAAAAAAAGATAAAAAAAGAAACACATAAAAAAGCATATAAACACATTTATAAAACATAGAAAAAAAAACATCATCCACGAGGTTGGGAATGAATGGAAAAGGGGTATTCAGGAGTAGGCCCTTGCTTACAGTCTCATGATGTACATGATGTGCAGCTATCCCCTCCCCACATCGCAGTTGCATCGTTTCGGCACGACCCTTCCGCCGCTGGACCATGCTGGACCGCTCTTTGTTGGTGTATTTTGATTTCACATGAGTTCACCCACAGTTCAGTGGAGTTCAACCAATTGTTGACATGTGCTTAGCAAGCATATCAAGATGTATCAAGCATCAAATGAGGTTGGTGTGATTGGCTCCCATGCGCAGCGGAGCCGCTAAGCCGCATATGAAATGTGCATTGGAAATGGTTGGGAATTCTCAATCTCTGAGCGGGGGTTTATAATCAGCACGACTACACACATGTACATTATCATATATCATTATATAATATTATCCATATATATATATCCATATCATCTAATTAATTACGTCTAATTTCATCAAACCGTGATGAACACGTACAAGGTCCCCCGTGCTGTTATGAGGGCTGAAGTCAGTCAGCGAATGCAAGCATGTGGGTCATATGGAATTTCCATGGCCAAATATCGCTGCCATGCTGTGACAATTTTTGAACATAAAAGACCCATAAAGACCCCTTGTGGCCTAGTGGATCCCTGTGGTATCTTGTGTTTCGCAATCCGAGGTGAAGTGAGGGTGAAATTTCTCCCATGGCCTCGAAATGAGAAGGACTTGCTGGCAATGCGCAAACGCGTGGATGTCTCCAGCAAAACCATGTTTTTCGTTCCCTGGAAGAAAAGATGCCCGCGTACTTAGTATCAGGGGGCCCAGAGAGCCCCTGTGCCAACTTCGCAAGTTGTGGACATACAAAATTAACAGATCAGACCAATTAGCCATGTCGGCAGATCGGCTATGGCTGAACCATGCTGAACCACGCTTCAGTAGCCGCTTCATAGTATTCCATACAGCCGTTGCCAACACTTGTCGTTTGCTGCACTTCTAAGGCTCCTACTGGCGAGGTGCTGCGATCAAAGTCGTGCAGACGAAAAGCAGCGCGGCAGCGGATCATGCATCTCAGCTGATCTCAGCGGTAAAGAGTTGAACAAGATTGAACAAGCGAACGCATGCGGGCACATGCGGGCACACATGAATAGGTAAGTGATGGTAAGTGCATCCATCCATACAGACGGACACTGACAGACATACATAAAGACATACCATTAGAATCCATGAGACCAGTGACGCTCAAATCTTGGATATGAGCCTCTGATGCATTTTCATCGGCAGGACATCGTCACTTGGAAAGAATCCCAGGTTTTTGCACAGACTCTCTTCTCCATTCAACACGATCCACTCAGGGGGAGAGACGCGAACTTGCCAGAGTGTGAGATGCAGCTGGGAAGCTCAGCTTCTGGGTGAGTCCAAATCCATTTTAATGGGCTCCAACATTTTGGGGGATGGAATTCACAGCCTTTCACTTTGTGTGCGTGCATCAGAGCAAAGGCAGTAAGCCTACAGTTCTATCATTGGAATTTATTGACAATACAACACGACTCTGGTTGACCTCCTCTCATCACGACATGTCTGTGCTCGCCAAACCAAAACAAAACTTGGCTCGGAAACAGGTTGCGGCAGTTACCGCAGCCTTACAGCAACCTGTACGTAATAAACTGGACACACAAGACCGTATGAAGAACAAACTTGTGAAATCGCTTCCAGGCAGCTGAGAAATATGTCCGCAAGTGTTTGAAAAGACACCAAAGAAACATGCCAACTGCCATTGAGATTTCTGATGATTCTGACGAAGTAACAAATTTGAGTTGAAATTTGCCATCCTTGTCCCTGTGATCTTTTGAGTTGTTTTGTATCACCATACCATACTATACCATACTCATTTTTTTAATCTTTGTATAATACCGAGAGAGATGCGCCGAGTTGCCCTTATGGATCTTATGGGCATGCACGGCGCAGGACATGAAAGTGAAAGTGAATTCTTCTATTGGGATCTATTGGGGCCACTTTGAGCTTTACAATTTCATGTCGTCCTAATTCTGATCAATAAGCTATGCAGTGACCTGAGTTGCTACCCTTCCTTTGTCAAGCACTTGGCTTTGTTTTGCTCTTTTGTGCCATTCTATTCTTGCATGGTGGCCTGACCGAGTGTCGGAGCGGCAACCTTTTAAGATGGCTTCTGGTTTTTCATGGCATTGGATGTTGCAGGCCTGTCTTTTGGCGCCACGTTTGCCCAGATTGATTCGTACAGGCTTACACCCAACCAGTGGGATGCTAATTAAGGCAGAGAACTTCCCGTCCGGGCCAACAAATTTCAGTAATTTTGATGCCATTTTTGTTGGCCCGTCATCCAGGATTCCCACGCTCGGAGTTTCTACTGTAGTCGGTGCAAACAGATGCGCTGAGAAAAGCAAGCGAAGGAATGAATGCAATGGATGACTGTTTGTGTGTTTGAGCGCATGCTTGTGTTTCATAATTTTTCATAATGTTTTATGATGCTTTATGCTTTTTCTTTTATGCATAGAGAGTAGGTGACTATAGGTGCAAGAGTGCACGATTTCAAATATCGTCTCGGGGAAGTTCGTAGAATGGAATGTCTTGTTTGTTTTTTTTTGTCGTCTGTTGTCTGCCCAGTGTAGGGACATGGCTTGAACATGTTCGAATCCTGTCCGAGTTTTTTTGAATCCTGGAGACAAAATCAGGCCAGCACAAGGCCACAATGATTGTCCATAAATTGAGGTATCGCGAGTCCTTAGCCGTTCATGTCCCGGGTATAGAATTCAATATCTGTGCTTAGCATAAACTTGGCATTACCTGGGTCTCTCAAACTACACACTACATCCATCTGCATCCCACCCAGTGATTATTTCATGTTTTCAATTATTTGCTCGGGTTTCAGTGCAGGTTCGGCAGCCTGGTTTTTCTGGATGTTTTGTGGATACAGATGGATACAGCCAATCCAAGGTCGATTTATGATGGAATGTCATCCTTGAAAAACAAGTCGACGCTAGCTTGCAGTTCTTAGAAGGTGCTGAGGAAACTACTTTCACATGCAAGCTGCTTTCGCATTGAAGTGCGTTGGATTATCTTGGGCGGTTTGGAACAGATTAATGTAGATGGGTATCGTGTGGATGTATGTCGGCATTTAGATCAGACGTTGCCCGATCTCAGGGAGAGGTCACTGGGCAAGATCCGAACCTTACCTGCACAAGAATAGACACCATGATGGGAACAAAAAAAGAGAGGGAAAAAACACATTTCACAGAGATGTGCTATATGTCATAATGTGACGAAAGACTTGTCTCAGATCTAGACCGATCACAGCAATTATCACCAGTGGGACTAGCTGCGTCAGCTGCAGAACTTTGCCCATTAGGAACCAGCTTTCTTGGAGGAAAGGAGTTGGCAGCCCAGAAGTCTGCAGTTCTTATGGACATTTCATGAGGCCTTTCATGGCCTTTGATGGCCTTTCATGGCTTACCTGTTGCTGGCTGCACCTTTTGCATTTTTGGTTCCCACACGGGATGTGTAGGAAGGTACATCATGGTACATCCCTGCGCACACTCTTTTTGCCAAACTGAGGCAGAAATTGGAAGTGGATGCCACTGGACCCACTGGCTATTCCCAAGAGGATGACGAAAAGATCTTATTTAAAACTGCTGCAAATGGTGGCGAGGTTCCAATTGAAGATCTGTTGCCCGGCTGCCTTTGAACAAGCAGTGCAGTCATTACATGTCATTACAACATGCGTTAAATATCGTTTATGTTAAATTGATTTGATTTGTACTATTATGTACTATTATGTACTATTCATCTTTGGCAGGATGCCAGATCCCAGAGGTTTTGCGCCTGTAGGTTGTGGACTTGTAGGCTTGTAGATGTCTACAATGTATGCGGGATCACCGGGATCACTGGGATCACCACTCAAAATAGTATCTATAGAGATATTATATGATATTATATTATTATATAGAGAATTTATGAGATATCTAATGATATCTAGAGTCAATCTAGAGTGATAGTTTTCTGTCCGTCTAGCTTCAAGCGACCTGCGGATACTGATCCCTGCAGGGCTCACGGCTGGCCTGGCAGGTTTCTTTACTTCCTGAGAGCTGTGCAAAAAAGCGAGAGAGCAATGTGCCCTCCCATAGCGAAGTTGCTCCTTGTCGAATCCGTGTGCCACATACCGTGAAACACCCTTGCCCAAGTCATAAAGATACATTTTGTCTTACCATGTCTTACCTGTAGCTTGAATGCGAAGCCATGCGAAGCCTCAACAAGCAAAGGAACCTGATTCTGGTGCTACCAGCACTGCTTGTCCCATCTTTCCTGCGCCTCAAGAACACTGGATTTTTTCTGGGACCAGGCTGGGGGCTGGGGATGCAGACAATACGAAGAATACTGTAAAATGGGTACTACATATAGCAGATATAGCAGCATAATATACATGTATATATATATATTAATATACAATACATGTGGACAAAGTAGCTGATTACGGTAGACATGCTGTGGAACTCTGAAGGTGTGCTTATTCTTCCTTGTGGTAAGACATGAAACTACGCGAATGCATGCCTTTCACCTGTCTTAAGTCGATCTCCAAGAATTCAGATTTCAGGAACACTTGGACGAGACAAGCACAGGAGTTGCATGGAGTTGCTGGGTTGCTCGTGATGTGCGACGTGAACCATGATGCACTGGACCAGAACGGTGCCATTACCATTTAGACTGGATCGCATGAGCGTTCGGGCATGTGCCAACACCACAGATAATAACGCCAACAAGTGCAGCAAGATATATAAGTCAAGACAAGCAAAATGATATAAAATGATCAAAAACAAAGGGATTTATATCATGAATATATCGTGAGTACTCAATATGATTATAGTTACATTATACAGAGTACCAGCCTCGCAGTGAGACCCAATCAAATCTTATTCTTGCTTTGGCAAAGCGTGCATGCTGCATTCTAGATACCAGCTGCTCCGCACACATCAACGTGCAACTACCATCAGTTACCGATGCTCGCAATATGCAAGTCAAGTAGGTCATTTACTGTACATTCATTTACCACAAGTCCTGCCCATCAAGGTGGGTATAGTCCGGAACCTTTCGGAACCGTTCCGAACCCGAACTTTTGACGCAAAAAACCGATTAGTTCCAAATAGTTCCGAATAGTTCCAAATAATTCGGGACTTCATCGTTCGGAACCGTTCATAACATTCTGAACTATATGCTTACAGTGGCACGGTCGTAGTAATTAGTTCAGAACCGTTCGGAGCCGGTCTGAACTATTTCAATAGACACCAAGCAAAGTATTGGAAATGCAAATTTGAATCATGCTTCTGGCACTATTCTGGAACTGTTCGAACCATGTTGAACCATAAAGCATATAGAATAATATATTCATATGTATGTATATCTGCAACTATATATTTTTTTAAGAAAAATATGCATTATTTTCAATTTGTCGTAATTGCGCACCATATTTTTGACATCTACTTGGCCCACCTTATTATGATATGATGTACTAGTATGCAGCATGTCAAAACAATTGGATCGAATGGAAATTTATGATGCGAAAAATGCAAAACCCCGTCGTAATTGACTCGCAATCATGAAAACCAATTTCTTTTATTTGAAAAGTTGAATAGACTTTGCAAATAGATCCAAGGCCTTGAACCCCCGCAACTAAAGAGGCCTACCAGACCGCTATTATATTTACATAAAACACCTATTGTAATTACACACATTGTATTTACATACGCTAAAAATCAGTAAAACTTCAACGTATTCACGACCCTCACGCATTCAGGTGGACCCTGATAGAAGTGTTCAAGGAGCGCTGACTCCAACTAAACTCGCTTGGTGTAGACGGGATATTATCATACCCTCAAGATCGAGGTGTCTAGAATCCCTACCCCCCTGGGGTTCCCGTTGAAGGTTCTAAAATCATCACCACTATAATTTTATAACTTTTAAAGGCTATCATTTTAGAACCCTGAAAGTTTGGATATATGAGCCTTGTTGTGGTATGAATTGATTCTAACAGACCACAAGAAAGGTCATAGTTTTGGAGTGCAGAAAAAGGAACCAAGTCGTGATGAGGTCTCTACCCGAAGGTGCAGAACATGTTTGGAATTAGCATCCCTGGTTTTGGTCGATCAAGATTTCCATTTTCAAAACCAGGTGGTTTCAATGTCGCTTCGTTTGAAATTTCTGAAAAAAGGAGCTAAAACGGTGTTGAGCAGCTGCAGCAATGTGCAATGATAAACAAGGTATTGAATTATATCCGGCAACATCCGCAATTGAAAAAACACGAGCCTCACCATGACCTTCAACCTCCCACACAATGCCAATGTTGTTTGGAAAGAGCAAATGCCAGGTCAAGTTGTGATGAGCAACCTGCAGTGATGCGCCTCCGTGTTTCCACCCAACACCGCAACACCTCCATTCTTTAGATACCAACACTTTGGTTCAACAAGGCCGGTTGCAAAAAAGGACGCGGGTCTATTGTCATCTTCCCCAGGTCAGTGCGTGTCAAGTGCTTTTGGGGAGCTTGAAGGCAACCATTCTAGACCCCCAGGTGCTGACTGATGGCCAGCTATAAGACAACTTAGCCGCTTAGCCACCCTTTGGCATTCTACATTCTACATCCTTCTGCGCATTCTTTAGGTACCAACACTTTTGGTTCAATCAAACCTTTTGGAAAGAAGGGCGCGGGCCTATAATCATCTTCCCCATGCGTGTCAAACTGCTTTTGGAGCTTGAAGGCCACCATTCTAGAACCCCAGGTGCTGACTGATGGCCAGCTATAAGACAACTGATCCGCTTAGCCATCCTTTGGCATTCTACATTCTACATCCTTCTGCACATTCTTTAGGTACCAACGCTTTTGGTTCAACCAAACCGTTTGGAAAGAAGGACGTGGGTCTATAATCATCTTCCCCAGGTCAATGCGTGTCAAAATGTTTTTTGGAGCTTGAAGGCAACTATTTTAGACCCACAGGTGCTGACTGATGGCCAGCTGTGACCCAAACTTAGCCATTTTGTCACATCGCTTCTGCATTTTACATCCGTCTGCAAGACATTTGATAGAGAATTTTCGGAGAACAAAGAAAAGGGAGAGACTGATGGCCCAGGAAGTTTTGAGACTGGTCATGGGCAAGGCAATCTTTCCTTCAATGCGATAGTCTTGCCAGACTGTGATGCGGTAAGATCTGTTTTAAAAGGAAGAGGGTGATTTCACAAGATGACTGGACGACGCAGTCTTTGTGGTGGGAAAGGCGGCCAAAAGGTTGCAATCGATTTTTGCATCCATCCCGATCTTGCTATAAAAAAAGGTGCTGCTTATATTTTCCGGAAAAGGTGGGCCTGACGCAGCCTTAAAAGAAATCCTTCAAAAACAGAAAAAAACGAAACATTATGATGACCTGAACCGTGCAATGCGTGCGGGAGGACAAAATCTGTGTGCAAATGAAATGCAAAAATTTGCTTTAAATCATAACAAGGAGATTCCCTAAAAAACCGTGTCAATTTTCCATGATTTTATAGCTTCAGGAAAACGATTCTAGACCCCTACCCCTCCGTACACTTTGGGGTTCTTCTATCATGGTCTCCGTTCACAAATTGGGAAACCTTGGATTTTTTAAGGGGAAACGATCCTAGACCCCAGATCCGGGGTTCTAAAATGTCGGACAAGGGGGGTTGTTTGATCTTGAGGGTATATATTATTATCAATGTCATGTATTGATATGTATTGTAGATGAATGTAGAATTGACAACAATACAGAACATACTTGGATATGCCTGGATTTGATTTGCTGAGCTGCTGACACTCTGGCTTGACCCTTGGCAGATCCAGTTGCGGTGCTCGCCGTTGTGGGACTTTGGCCTTCGAACTTTGTTTGACACTTGGCTGCAACTGAACCGATTTCCAGTTGATCGCAGAAGGCTCTACAAATGCGTGCGCCATTGGTTTTCCATTTTTCACCTGTCATGCATTTGTAAACCAGATTTGCTCTCGTCGTTATGCTTCATCTCAGTTGGCGCTTTGGACATGTGGAGGCGTGACCCCATACACAGCACGAAATTGGCTACGATCTGATGAGGGTAGTATCAAAAAGTTCGCCGCAAGAAGATGCCACCTAAGAATACAGGAACCAAAATGCAAGTTTGTGTATTCTTGAAGGGAGCCACGTATTTGCTCTTTCAAGGTATGCTGTTCCCTTACAGACCACTCTGAATCCATACTCCTGGCATGCAATAGAAATGACCTTTGATCATATATCATATGATCCTGTAGCAGATAGGGATCACAGTGCTATCCAGGGCGCTTCCATCTGATTCATGTTCCATGTGTTCATCCTTTGTTCAATTTTGTTCATATCTTAGTTTCACATAGATTCACTAAGTTTCTTTTATTATTTCGTCATTTTCATCATCACGAAAGCTAGCTTGCTAGCTGGAGCTGGATTTGCTTTAGCCATGAATTGGGGGCAGACTGGACACAGCTGCCACGATTTTTCATGTCGAACTTGTTTTTTTGGTCCCCTTGTTCGGCATGATGGATCATGTCGAACCGTGACACCCCCCCTCCCGCCCTCGGGCTCAAACCCCGCTGCGCGCATGCCCACGCACACACATATACAAGATGATATTCACCGTGAGTGTTGTGAATGTAATGCAATGTAATGCAAAACAAAACGTGACGCAATGCAATCAAATCTAATCTAATGATATCTAATTGTAACGGTATCTAATCTCATACAGCGTAATGGAACCTAATCCAATGTAATGTAATGTAATTGAATGTAATCACTGATGTAGTGTGATGTCATGTGAGGTAACATAATGTATATAATATAATGTAGCATAGTGTGATGTAGTGTGATGTAATGTAATGTAATGCATGCAATGTAATGTAATGTGATGTATACAATGGTATGTAATTGTATGAAATGTAAGGTAAAGTAATGTAACATAATGGTATGTATATAATGGATTATAATTATAATGGCATCTGCTGAGAACGTAATGTAATGTAACGTACTAGTACTGTAACGTACTGTAATGTAATGGTGTGTAATGTAATGTTATGACATGTAATGTAATGAGAGAACAACCATTTGGAGTCAGGTGTTGGGTCATACCACGACAGTGGAATCTATACCACGACAAGATATAAAAAACCACGACAAGAGGGTAGCACGAGTAGCGCATACCTTGTTCAATTGATGATTTGTTCAAAAATTTGCCACTAATCGCCACTAATCAAACCAAATTTGCCCACTAATCGCCACTAATCAAACCAAACTTGCCGTGTAGCTATCTCAGCTATAGCTATCTTAGCCCAGTGTAGCCCAAGCTATCTCAGCCCAGTGTAGCCCAAGCTATCTCAGCCCAGTGTAGCCCAAGCTATCTCAGCCCAGTGTAGCCCAAGCTATCTCAGCCCAGTGTAGCCCAAGCTATCTCAGCCCAGTGTAGCCCAAGCTATCTCAGCCCAGTGTAGCCCAAGCAATCTCAGCCCAGTGTAGCCCAAGCAATCTCAGCCCAGTGTAGCCCAAGCAATCTCAGCCCAGTGTAGCCCAAGCAATCTCAGCCCAGTGTAGCCCAAGCTATCTCAGCCCAGTGTAGCCCAAGCTATCTCAGCCCAGTGTAAGCTATCTCAGCCCAGTGTAGCCCAAGCTATCTCAGCCTCAGCCCAGTGTAGCCCAAGTCAGCTTCTTACTTAGTCCCAATCCATAAACAATTAGCAAGGCTTTTTCCGCCAATCGAAGGTGGCTGTTGCTTCAAGGTTTCAGCACCCAGACTTCCCCAGTCCCAAATCCGTAAGCCTCCAAATCCGTAAGCCTCCGCCTCCAAATTCGGTAAATCCGTGAGCCTCCTCCTCCAAATTCGGTAAAATTTCGGAAACAATCCGTAAGCCTCATCCCCCAGATCAAGGTAAAATCCGTAAACAATCCGTAAGCCTGCTCCACCAAATTCGGTAAAATTCCGTAAACAATCCGGAAGCCTCCTCCCCACAATCCGGTAAAAATCCGTAAACAATCCGGAAGCCTCCTCCTCAAAATCCGGTTAAAATCCGTAAACAATCCGGAAGTCTTCCTACCCAAGATCCGGTCAAATTCCGTCAGCAATCCGGAAGACTCCTCCCCAAAATCCGGTAAAAATCCGTAAACAAACCGGAAGCCTCCTCCCCAAAATCCAGTAAAAATCTGTAGACAATCGGGAAGCCTTTTCCCCAAAATCCGGTAAAAATCCGTAAACAAACCGGAAGCCTCCTCCCCAAAATCCGGTAAAAATCTGTAAACAAACCGGAAGCCTCCTCCCCAAAATCCGGTAAAAATCTGTAAACAATCGGGAAGCCTTTCCCCAAAATCCGGGAAAAATCCGTAAACAATCCGGAAGCTTCCTCCCCAAAATCCGGTCAAATTCCGTCAGCAATCCGGAAGCCTCCTTCCCAAAATCCGGTAAAAATCCGTAAACAAACCGTAAGCCGCATCCCCCAGATCCGGTCAAAATCCGTAAGCAATCCGTAAGCCTGCTCCACTAAATTCGGTAAAATTCGGTAAACAATCCGGAAGCCTCCTCTCCACAATCCGGTAAAAACCCGTAAACAATCCGGAAGCCTGCTCCTCAAAATCCGGTTAAAATCCGTAAACAATCCGGAAGTCTCCTCCCCAAAATCCGGTCAAATTCCGTCAGCAATCCGGAAGCCTCCTCCCCAAAATCCGGTAAAAATCCGTAAACAAACCGGAAGCCTCCTCCCCAAAACCCGGTAAAAATCCGTAAACAATCGGGAAGCCCCCTCCCCAAAATCCGGTAAAAATCCGAAAACCATCCGGAAGCCTCCTCCCCAAAATCCGGTAAAAATCCGTAAACAATCCGTAAGCTTCCTCCTCCAAATTCGGTAAAATTTCGGAAACAATCCGTAAGCTGCATCCCCCAGATCCGGTCAAAATCCGTAAACAATCCGTAAGCCTGCTCCACCAAATTCGGTAAAATTCCGTAAACAATCCGGAAGCCTCCTCCCCACAATCCGGTAAAAATCCGTAAACAATCCGGAAGCCTCCTCCTCAAAATCCGGTTAAAATCCGTAAACAATCCGGAAGTCTTCCTACCCAAGATCCGGTCAAATTCCGTCAGCAATCCGGAAGCCTCCTCCCCAAAATCCGGTGAAAATCCGTAAACAAACCGGGAAGCCTCCTCCAAAAATCCGTAAACAATCGGGCCAGC